AACTGGAACAGTGTATGTGTGCAACTCGGGCAAGTCGTTCGCTACCAAGATCGCCGAGCTGACGGATGCCGGCCGCGAAGAGGGCGACCCAGACGCTGCCATCGTTCCCGTCCTCGCCTTCATTGATATCGCTGTCTCAGGGGACGCAGAGTCCTCGCACGTCCGCCGCTCTTCCCTCAACCTGACGCCGCTCTCCTCGTCTCCATCCCAGCCTCAACCGCCTCACCAGCACCAGCATCTCCCTCAGCAGGCTCAAGGACAGCCTTCCGCGGTCTCGCCATCAACCTCCAGGCGCAGTCTTGCATTTTCCTCCGAGTCCGAAGAGCTGTTCGGACTCCACCTGCTCTCGCGCTTCTCCGCAGATATTCAGGCCCGCGAGACACCTCATGCCATCATCCCAATCGCCATCCTACGGAACGTCCGGCCCCAGCCCTCGCCATTTTCTTCCTCCGCACACGTCCTGCGCAGCGGCAAGAATGTCGAGCCTGCGACAAAGCCAAGCTCCCGCCGTCCGGACGACCGCCAGATAAGCCGCTGTCTCGACGCGGGTGCCATTGACGTCCTTGTCTCCCCCATAGACCAGTCTAGGGTCCAGGGCCTGCTCATCCATGCCTACCGCATCCGCAGAGCTGCGCAGAAGGAGAACAGTCGCTTCATGGCTGTCTCCGGTCAGAAGATTCGCAAGTACTCCTGGGTCGGCGTCAGCTCGACCGCAGAGGATGAAAGACCCTATGCTTATCTCAGAGAGGCCATGTATGTCATCTCTCTCTTTCTTTCTCTTTCATTCTTGCATTCTTTCGTTTGTTTTTCTCTGACTAGCTTTTCTAGGGTCTCCAAATTGATGAAGAGGATATGCAATCCTGAAGAAGCCCTTGACGACTCCTTGATCAGTGACGTCTGCGTCTCAGACGAGCGCAAGGAGGAAGTCAAGGCTGCCATTGCGGAATGGCATTTCTGTGCTCACGACTTTACCGATGATGAACTTTGCTATGCTTCCTGCTTGATGTTTGAACATACCCTTACCATACCCGACCTCGAACACTGGCGCATCTCTTCCGGTAAATATCCTTTGTCTTTATTTCCTTCTTCATTGGTTCATTGTTTGGTTACATCTTCTAACGGCTTGTAGAATCTCTACGGGAGTTTGTGCTTTCGTGTCGCGCGGCTTACAATTCCTTTATACTCTACCACAACTTCCGCCATGCAGTCGACGTCCTACAGTCGACCTTCCACGTCCTCGTGCGTATAGGCGCCATCCCGCCTTTCCCCCTCGGAAGCGAACCCCGGTCCTCAGACGCGGGCATGTCATGTCTCATCACCCCGTTTGATGCCCTCGCACTCCTTGTCATTGCTCTGGGCCATGATGTAGGCCATCCGGGTGTCAACAACATGTTCCTCGTCAAGCTCAATGCTCCCCTCGCCCAGCTCTACAACGACAGATCTGTTCTCGAGGCCTTCCACTGCGCTGCTTACTCTCAGATACTCCGCCGGCACTGGCCCGCTGTCTTTCAAGATACAGAGATGCGCACACTTATGATTAGCTCTATCCTCGCTACCGATATGGGCATCCACAATCACTTCATTGATGAGCTCGGTAAACTCAGGGGTAGGTATGCAGCTGATGGCAGAAAGGTGGATTCCTGGATCGAGAAAGACATCAGAGACTACCGAGTTCTGCTGTGCGCCCTGATCATCAAGTGCGCCGACATCAGCAATGTCGTAAGCTTTACCCTTACCTTCATCTGCCTTTCCCACTTCAAAGGTCGAGCCCTTGCTAACTTTTTATCTTACCTTTTTCTTCTTTAAATTTCAGGCACGCCCGTTCAAGGTTGCAGAACAGTGGACCGACGTCCTGCAGCTAGAGTTTGCTAACCAAGGAGAAATGGAAATAAACATCGGTATAGCAACCTCTCTCTTCGGTGGTCCGCCAGAGCTAGGCAACTTTATCAAAAAGGCAAAGGGACAGGTTGGGTTCATGGACATATTCGGCCTCCCTCTCTTCGACGGAGTAACCGATATCCTCCCTGACCTTGCCTTCGCCGCCAACACAATACGGAGCAACAGATTCATCTGGGCTAAGCTCATGGAACATGAAGAAGTACTGGCCGAACACCGGGCTCGCAATTGCAGCACTCCGCGTTGTCAAGGTACTGACCCGTCCTGGGAGGAATGCAGAAAGCGTCTGATAGAAGAGGGCCCGGCGTCCATGGGATACACCATCCAGCACCGTTCGCCGCCCCATTCACCCATTCGATCCCCGCCTCAGCTGGATGGAGAAGCAGATACCCCCAATAATCAGACAACAACAACAACTACTACTACTACTACTCCCGCCGCTGGTGGACCCACGACCAATGTCCCCGTCATCATCAACGGTATCCACCACGCCAATCGACAATCGCAGCGATCAGCAGGCCGGTCGTCGGTCCAGAACACTGCCCGCACAATCGACTCTGGCAGCGGCTGTAGCGGTAGTGGCGGTGGAGTACGCACCCAAAGCACAAGCACCTACACAAACAATACACTAATCACTCCGCTTTCTTCAACCACTCAGGCAAGCAGCGTCATAAGCGCTGGAAGCAGCTTCGAGGAAAAAGATGGTACCTGTCAGTTACACCAGCGCATCAGCCTAAATCCAAATTCCATGCACCATCATGTTCGTCGTTGTGATCAGGCAAAGCCGGACAACGTCGCCGCCCTTGTCGGTGCTGCCAGCACTACCACCGCGAGCAGCTATACGTCTAGCATTGCCCAGAACGAGAACGAAGACGAGCATGATCATGATGGCAGCCACCAAAATATGTATGCTGACGAGAACCTGCCGTCCCCAGTCAACGCGTTACCCTCTACCACTGATGGAACAAGCAGCCATCAGCACCCGCAGAGCCAGTCGCAGACGCAGACATGGTATGAGCGAGCCACAAACAGCAAGGCCGGCGAGAGACGATCAAAGTTCATCACCGGCCTGTTCGAAAAGGCCAGCTCCAACAACAATAATAACAACCCTGCTGCCACCACCAACAGCACCAAAGGCAACCACCCAGCTGGCCTGACATACTCCAAATCCGCCCAGTCAACGCCCACTGTACATAACAACAGTCATAACCACCACCACAACCAACACACTCGCGGACGACGTGGCGGTCCAACAAGCCACCCTCGCTCATCCCCTTCCACCCCCCCCTTGCCCCCATCCACACTCCCATTCGACTCCGACGACGGTAATAATGACCCTCTTTCCTCCCTATCACCCAACCATGCAACGATGCCACTTCCCCGACGCCGCTCCAGGCTACGTCTAGCCTTCTGGCGACGGTCGAAACACCATGGTCAGGGGCCCGGCCACCCCCATTCTCCGCCGCAGTCTGACTCGGCGCCGTCAACAACGGCATCGGCATCAAGCATGATGAGCGCTTCTGACCATTATTAACCTGGCCCTTGCCTTGAACGAGATCCGTCTTTTTACTACGTGTACATTCATCTTCTCATCTTCCGCCATTCGTTCCGTCCCATTTCTCTATCTATTCTCTTCTCTGCTTTTATCAAAAAAACACGGTTTTCCTGGTCCCGGTTGGTTCTGGGGGGTTTCGGCGTACATGTTGAGTTCTGTTACTGTTCAAATTTCCTCTTCTCTTCACATTTCGACTGACCTCACCTGTCTACTACACTGTCTACACTGCTGTCCGTCTACATGATTCACTTCCGTTTGTCACCGACTTCACCTTTTTTTTTTTTTTCTATTCTTTCCTGCTTTTCCGTCCGGCGTTCCATTCATGACTTGCAATGCAAAGATATGCAGTATGCAAAGGCTATGCTCATGGTCCTGTCCTGTCTCGTCCGACTCTCATTTCCTTATGTTCTGTCTTCTTCCAGTTACGAAGCGAGTTAGATCTATATATATTCCTTTCCTCTTCTCCCTTTCCCTCCTCCTCCTACTCTGTCTATTCTTACTGCTTGACGCAGGCAGCTATTTTTCTTATCTTCCCGTCTCGTCTTTGCCTATTTTTCTTTTTCTATCTGTCTGTCTACATACCTTGCATACCTTTACCTCCTTATACTTTCTCTACCATCGCCCAGCTTGCTTTACCTAACTCACGCCTTACGCTTGTTCTTGTTATCTGATCCGCCCACCTTCATATACTATATATACATACTCTATTACTTATACCACCACCATAGTTGAATCGTTCTTATTCCGCAAAAGACATACTCCGTGACCTCAGTCCATACGTACATGCATTGGCAGCCCCTGGCAATAATAAATGTATTCTGCCGTTCCCCCTTTTTTAACCCGCCAATATCCTCGTCGTATACAGTTTCCATCAATCAAAAGTTCCCATTACATATAAATATCAAGTAATAACAGAGCATAAAATAAGAGTAAGCCTCGCTGACACTCCACAGATCATCAACCCAGATTAACTTCTTCACTGACACCTGGCCTCTTGAACCAACTAACTACTACTGACATTCTTCACAACTCCCTTGCCCAGACGGCCCTGAATCAGCCTGACGCTCGCCCGTCTGGCCCGTCTGGCCCTTTTCCCCGGCCTCCCCTGGCTCCTCCTGTCCCTGGCCTCGACCGTCTTTCTCCTCACCATCAACCCGCCCCTTCGCAAGCGCTCGATCGATATGCCCCAGGTCCCTGGACGGCTCAATGACATCTCTCACCAGCGCCTTGAGCTGTTTCGTCTCTAAACCCGCTACTTAATATGGCGACAAGCTAGGAGAAGAGCAGTGATGGAACCAGTTGATTAACTAAACGTACCGGGAAACCCTCCGTTAATTTTTCTATCCCACAGCACGCTCGTGTGAGTAGTAAAGTTCACGTTCGAGGCATGCTGGATCGTCACTGTGAACACGCCGCCCGTGCCAGGAACGAGAGATACTTCGCCTAGCGCGGTGGAGAAAGTTGATAGAAGCTCTTGAGCGAACTGGTGGGCAGTTAGTAGTTTCTCTGGTTATTATATTTGAGATTCTACGTCTGCTGTAGCCTGGTAGTTGAGGAGGAGGAGGAGGAGGTGGTGGTAGTGATTGTGGGGGACATACGTATGCTGCGCGGAGCATCCATTTACATTGAGTGCAGAAGGTGATGGTGACTCGCGGCAGGTTGACTGGCGCCGTGGCGTGGGAGTCTGATATCCGAGCATCCTCGAGGGGCTGAGGCTGGTCGGCCATGGTGTGCTGCTGCTGCTATGTATGTATGTATGTAAGTATGTAGATGTTGTGGTGGAAGTGGGATGGGGTGGACGGCAGCTAAACTAGTCTGGCTGGTGAGGCTGAGTCTGAGGCTGCTGCGTGCTTATTTGGAGGCGTCTCTTGCGCCGACTACAGGATGTGTTTTGAGGCTGACGATGTCTCGCATGTACATACAACTTGGTAGTTATGGAGACAGCCCTATAACGGGGCGCCTATTAGTTCAGGATAAACGGGCAAGACAGCCTGGTGAAGCTTACTTTATCAGTTGGAAAAGAGACAGGTCAGAAACTGGGCGTCTACCGAACTGGCTACAGCGAAGCGGCGTAGGTCACATACGGTAGACAGATAGTTATCGAATACATCACAAACCCCATAGTACGCAATCGACGGCGTTGTCCGAATGATTGCCTGCCAGGATGAGATCGGACAAATCATCTTCGTGGATTAACAGTTGGTAATCTTATGATCCCGGCAGAGATACAGATGGACGTGCATAAGGGATAGGAAGTCAAGAAGATCGACCGGGGGAAAAATAATCGACATGTTATTACGGGCTTTATTGTTAGATAGAGGTGGTATTGCTTCTCCCAGGCGGAAAATCTATTTTACATTGGCAGGAGAATTGGAAGGAAGGGGGAAGGGATAGTCGGGTTACTAGTAATGAAGGAGACGTAAAGGTAGATATAGATGATAGTAGGAGAAGAAAAGGAAACAAAGAGATATGGAAATGGAAATGGAAATGAATTTCAGATCTGGTCCGGTCCAGGGGGAGTTTATCCTATGCTTATTCCAGCTCTTGAAAAGTGAAGTAGTTGCGGATAGAGGAAATAGGTGTGGGTAATAGCGGACAAAGAAAATGGAGATAGACAGACAGAGAGAGAGATGGAGAGAAAGACATGGAAACATGACAGTAGGAACAAGGCGAACGGTGAAAAATGGGGTAAGGGAAAGAAAGAGATAGACTGATGTAAGGGGAAGAAAAAACGATTTTAGCAAAACGAAGGAACTGGCACCGACAACGAACAGAAGAGAAAAAAGAGCAAAAAAAAAAAAATTATAACCAAGGAATAGAGGATTAACCAAGACGAGGCCGGGAAGGTCGAGAAGGTATATGGTATGCTGAGGAACCCGGATACTAGCTGACTGGCTGGACCATGCTAGCTAAGCCAAAAAGGAAAGAGAACGATAGACAGCAGAGCAACCAATGTAGCCATATCCGGAGCAGTACAGAGCAGGAGAAGTTGGAAGGAAGAGAAAATGGTGGCATCGACCGAGGGAAAGATATGTCATGTATGAGGATGACGACGGTCGTCCAATTCCAATCCCTATGCCAAGATAAGAGTAGAACGGCGAGAGGGTTTTTCGAGGCAACGAACCAAGCAGGTAGATCGTAGTTATGTATAGACATGAACAGGAAAAGGGAAAAAAAGGAAAAAGAGAAAAGAGAAATGAATAAGGAGATCGTGATGGTTTGTTTGGATCGTATAGTGCGATTGCGGATGGCGGGAGACAAGGTAGCAGAGGAGGGAGAATTAGATATTATCGAGCAAGCAAGCATTGTACGGACGGGACGGAGAACGAAGAGCAGGTCTGGTGGTTATGACTGGAGGAACGGATTAAAGCCAAGTCGAGTGGCAGGGTGGAATGTTCAAATATAAGGGTATCGCTGTTGTTTCTTTTTTCCCTGTTCGCTGGGTTGAGGTGTCGAGTGTGGTGTGTAGTCGATGGTCAAGTAATTCAAGAGTGCTGAGGATGCTGATGACGTTCTTATTCATGTCCTTTTTCCTTTCCTTTAATTTTTTTTTCTTTATTTGATTTTGTGTTTAGTGTCGTACTCTTTTTGTCTTTTCAACATGCTCATCCATCACATCAGTATACAGCACCCTCCAGACTGCTGTGGCGCATAAGGGTCATCACGTTTGTCGACCTAGGCAAGGGAAAGAAAGGGGTTAGACTTGTACCCGTCAATGCCATGGATATATATGGCGGAAAAAAAAGGGGGGGGGGGGGGGGGCACATACCTGTCCCCATACAGACGGCACCATAAAGTCCTTTGTGTTGTTGCAGTAGTTTATAAGCCTAGAACCCATGTAAATTAGCCATCGAGCGTCATGTATATTGAGGGAACGGGCAGTACGACGCACGATATAGACGCTTCGGCAACTTTTATACGCGGCCTGTCGAGATCCTCCTTGAGCCGTATGTTGACCTCGGCGAGGCGGCGCAGCTTGAGCTCTGCCAGATTCTGTCGTGTCCGTCGTCCGTCGCCCCCTGAGCGCAGTTCATAAGCCGGCGGCATTGTGGTGTGCGAGGTCGAGAGAGCTGGCAGCCGTCCACTCCACTGGACGGGAGAAGGGGAGGGAAGAAGGGGAGAGAGGGCGTATATGTGCTATGGCGATGCGCAGTCCCCTGGGGCGGTTTGAACGGGCGGGCTCTGGGCGGGTAAGCAGCGATGTGGTGTGCCCCCTTCGCGACGACTTGGGAGGCAGGGAGTCGGTCGGTCAGACAGACGGTCGGGCAGTCGAGTCCTGGAGACGGCGGGAGCCTTTGACTCGGCTCGGGAGGGCTTCTCTGGAGCGGACGAGGAAGTGCAGGTCGACGCAGCGAGCGAGGCGGAAGGGCAGCAGAGCAACGGGAGACGCAGCGAAGCGAGCGAGAGGAAGAGAGGAAGAGAGGAAGAGAGGAAGGAAAGGCGAGCGAGCAGAAAGGAAGAAAAAGGCCGTCTCGGTATGGTAAGTTTGGTAAGTTTGGTAAGTTTGGTCACGCCTGGTACGGGGGTGTGGGTAATTTACGCTAGCTGAGTCAGCATTTGGCTTCCTTTTCCCTTTTCGACGTCGACATCAACAACGAGCAGGCTGTAGGAGTAGTTAGTTATACAGACGGGAGATGGCGATGAGATAAAGACGAGCGGACAGGAAGAGAAGGCGAGAAGAGAGAGGTCGCGCTGGGTCGAGGAAGTACAGCGTTACCGTTTGCCGGCTCTGTTCTGCTTTTTTCCTCGTCCCGTTTTTCCCAACGGCGCGATCGACGACGGCGCAAACCACTTAGTTACCTACATACACGACCGCAAGGGGTATCGTTCTAGGGGCTCTGGGGACCCAGTCTGGAGGTTTCGAGGCAGACTTGACCCCTTCTCAGTGGCGGATACAGAGAACGGAGTATGATGACGGCCCTCTCAAGCAGGCGCTTTTCAAGGGCGCTGGGGTTGGGATCGGCCCCTTCGAACTGGACTGGCACTGCTTGATGAGCTTGTCGTGCCGGAGTACGGAAGTTACATACGCTCGACCTCCTGTGATTGACGGCCGAGCTGTAACTGCGCTGTTACTCTCACTTCTGTCTTTTATCTCACTCGCTTGTGCCCTGTGTTCTGCGTGGTGGGCCAGGGGAGAAGCTGCTATAGATAGCACATCTCGCATCTCCCAGCTCGCCCCCCTCCGTATCTAGCGCCCCCATCTCTTGTCCTGTTATCGACCTTTCTGCTTTAAGTACTACTCTGCTGACTCCGTACTCGCTGCGACGGCTCCCAGCGACCCGACCCCCTACTGGCTGCACGCCAGCTGATGGCCCCAAGACCGTCGCTCGCTGTCCCGCAGACGGCCAGAACTGCAGCTCTCCCACCTCATCTTCCCATCGTAGCCTTCTCTACTACTCCGTAATCTGCCATATTGCTGTAATATCAATATCAATAACCTCACCGTTGCGTCTCCTGTTTCTTTCTTCCCCTTCATCGTCGTCGTCGTCTTAAGGTTCAATTATCACGTGACTCGCTTACTGTTTCTTCTGCTTACCTAATATTTCCATGCCCAAAAGAGGGAAAAAAAAAAAAAGAGGAAAAACTCGCCTCCACCTTTTTTGCTCTGCACACAAAAACGACACCAACAACGCAGAAAAAAGGCCGCCAGAGCCAGCCATCACGACGACCATCAACGAGGAGGCTCGCTCGATCTCTACCCGCCGCCCTCGCCAGTTCGTGCTCGTGCCGGACTTTTCGCCGTCGTCCCTGGCCACACAGAGCGATAACCTTATCGAAGAAAAAGTTGTCGAGCGTGGGAAAAATTACACTGCCTGGGGGTTATACATACAACCCACGTTGAAAACATCCCTCTTCCACATCATAGGGAAGACCGCCCAGCATGGCGCCTCTCCCACACGTCCGGCCGGAGAATATCCTCAGGGTAGGCCTGCTCTGACATTATCTTTCGAACCTTTTTGGCAGCTTGTTATGCGGGATCTAACTGCTCTGTTTAGCGCGCTGAGGAACTCATCGCCGTCGACCAACATGCATCTGCCTTGACCGTTCTACACGAACATGTCACCTCGAAACGGTCCAGGAACAGCCCGATTGCCTCGCTAGAGCCAGTCATGGTTCTGTTCGTCGAGCTTTGCGTCGATTTGAGGAAGGGAAAGTCCGCCAAAGATGGCTTGTACCAGTACAAGAACATTGCTCAGAACACCAACGTCGGAACCATCGAGGTATGATATCTCAATGCACTCCCCCTCTTTTGGCTATTTCTTCGTTTTATCATACTGACCGATATAGATGGTGTTGAAAAAATTCATCGAGTTGGCGGAGCAAAAAGTCACAGAGGCCCAGGCAAAGGCAGATGAGATCCAGCAGTCTCTCGAATCAAATGCCGGAGCTACATCAAATATCGAGGATCTAGACGCCATTGAGACACCAGAGACCATCCTTCTTGCCACCGTTTCTGGAGAACAGTCCAAGGACCGCACAGACCGCGCTATCGTCACTCCCTGGCTCAAGTTCCTCTGGGAGACATACCGTACCGTGCTCGAGATTCTTAAGAATAACGCTCGCCTCGAAGTTATGTACCAGTCCACCGCCCTGCAAGCTTTCCAGTTCTGTCTCAAATATACCCGCAAGACCGAATTCAGACGTCTCTGCGAGCTGCTCAGGAACCATGTCCAGAATGCTGCCAAGTATTCGTCTCAGATGCATGCCATCAACCTCAGCGACCCCGACACCCTGCAACGCCATCTAGATACCCGCTTCCAGCAGCTAAACGTTGCCGTCGAGCTTGAGCTATGGCAGGAAGGTTTCCGTAGTGTAGAGGACATCCATACCCTCCTCAACTTGAGCAAGCGACCAGCGAAGAATGTCATGATGGCCAATTACTACGAGAAGCTTGCACGTATCTTCCTTGTTAGTGATAACTACCTCTTCCACGCTGCGGCTTGGAACAGATACTATACCCTCCTCCGCCAGTCTGCCATTGCCGTTGCTTCCGGCCAGGTCTCCAAGAAGGATAACCCATCTGTCTCCGAAGCAGACATGACCAAGACCGCCTCCTTTGTCCTTCTCTCTGCCCTTTCCATTCCCGTCATCAGCACTTCTCGCTCCCGTGGTGCGCTGGTTGATGTTGATGAAGCCCGCAAGAACAAGAACACTCGTCTAACTAACTTGCTCGGCATGGCTTCCCCTCCTACTCGTGCTGCCCTGTTCAAAGACGCTCTCAACAAGGGCCTCCTGTCTCGTGCTCGTCCAGAGATCCGGGACCTCTACAACATCCTTGAAGTCGACTTCCACCCGCTCTCGATTTGCAAGAAAATTGCGCCCATTCTCGAACAGATTGGTGCTGACGCGGAGATGGAGAAGTATGTCCTACCATTGCAACAGGTCATCCTTACCCGTCTGTTCCAACAATTGTCCCAGGTTTACGAATCTGTAGAGCTCAAGTTTGTTCACGAACTTGCTCACTTCCCTGCTCCTTTCCAAGTAACTCCTTCCATGGTCGAGAAGTTCATCATGAATGGCTGCAAGAAGGGTGATTTGGCTATCCGTGTTGACCATGTTTCAGGAGTCCTCACCTTTGACTCGGATATCTTCTCTTCTGCTAAGGCTGTACATGCTGGCAGCGCAGCCGGATCAGCTGAGAGCGACGTTGGTGCCGTTCAAAGACTGCAAAGCACCCCGGCCGAGATTGCCAGATCGCAGCTCACTCGTCTCGCTAAGACATTGCATGTTACTTGCATGTATGTTGATCCTACTTACAATGAAGCTCGCATTGAGGCCCAGCGCCAGGCACAAGCCCGTGCCAAAGCCGGCGCCGCAAAGGAGCACGAGCAAATCCTTGCTCGCCGTATGATCATCGATAAGAAGAAGGAGGCTGCTTCGGATGCTCTCCAGAAGAAGCAGCAGGAAGAAGAAACCCAGAAGCGTATCCGCACACAACAGCTACAGGAGGCTGAGAAGCAGCGTCTCCTTGACGAGCACCGTGAGAGAGAACGCAAGCGTATGAAGGATGAGCAGGATCGTATCCGCCAGGCAGAGTTGAAGAAGCAGCTCGAGGAACTCAAGACTGGTATCAAGGGTATTGACGTTAGCGAAATTGACCTCGAAGAGCTCGACTCTAACCGTCTCCGAGCAATGAAGCTTGCCCAACTCGAGAAAGAGAAGAATGAACTCAATGAGAAGATCCGCGTAACCGCTAAACGCTTCGACCATCTTGAGCGTGCCTACCGCCGTGAGGAACTCAAGCATCTGCCTGAGGACTATGAGAGACAGAAGAAGCATGACCTCGAAGTCTATGAAAAACAAAAGGCTGAGACCCTTGCCGCCGCTGAAATTAAACACAAGGAAGATGTGGCTCTCAAGCACCGTCTTAGCCGTCTTGTACCTCATTTCAACAAGTTCAAGCACACTGTTACCGAGAAGCGACATGAAGAATTTGAGCGTCGCCGCAAGGCTGCTGAACGTGAGTTCGAGGCCAAGAAGAAACAGCGTGTCAAGGAAGTCCAGGAGCGTATCAAGAGAGAGCGATTGGAGCGTGAAGCCGAGGAACGAAGAAAGCGTGAGGAGGCAGAGCGTGCGGAGAGGGAAGAACAGGAGAGAGCCGCCAGAGATGAGGAGAGGAGGAAGAAGTTGGCTGAGGAGAAGGCTGCTAGAGAAGAGCAGAGAAGGTCAGTTTTCCTTAACTTTATATCATCCGATTTCTCTCCTAACATTCCTACTAATCTATGGCATAGACTTCTCGATGAGAAAGCTGCTATCCAGAAACAGCGTGAAGAGGAAGCCGAGAAGCGTCTTGCTGCTAAACGAGCCGGTATGACTGACCCTCGCCTGGCTCGCACTCCCCCGACAGTTGCTGCCGAGGCTCCACGAACCGACTCTACTGAACGCACCGCTCCTCGCCTCAACCTCACTTCCCGCACTGGCAGTGGTGCCTCCTGGAGAGAACGAGAGGCTGCCAAAAAGGCTGCTGCTGGCAGCGGTGAATCTGCCGCTGATGAGTCCGCTGCACCACCTCCCCGAACTATTCCCGGCCGTGAAACCCGTGAGCTGCCATCTCGCGAACGTGAACCCCCAGCCCGCGATATGGGCGCTCGGGATACCCTCCGCAAAGCATCAGGTACTCCTGGAACCTATGTCCCTCTCCACCTCCGTGGCCGTGACAGCCCAGCAAATGGCGCTGCTCCCCGCTTCCCGTCCAGAGGCCGAGATGTATCCTCCTCCGACTCCCGACCCCCAGTTGCCAGGAGCCCTGCTCCCGCCACTGACAGCGAAGTGAAGCCAGAGGCTAAATTACCCCCTCCCAGCTCCGGTGCCTGGAGACCCCGAACCAGACCCCAGCAATAGACGTGTATCATTTTCATTTGTTTTGTCTTGTTCTGGCATGTTGATGATCATGATCATGATTATGGTGGTTCGTGTTGATGTTGATGGCTCATGGGACAGAAACGGAGGCTATGATATCTCTATTCTTCTCATCTCATCTGCATTTCTTTCCATTCCTCTCTTTCTTCTCTTCTACCTCTCACACTTCTCTTCGTCTCGACCCCATCATCAACCACCTTCAGATGTTATTTTACGTCCAACAAAAAGCCTCTGGCTCTGGTTTCTTCCTCGCCTTTTCTCCGTCTCTCCTTATTAATGTCTGTGGCATGCATGTCAATTTTATTGGATTTAATCTTACCTGCCCCTCCCCTTTTTCGCCCCAGCTCAAACTAAAGAATTGATTCCCTTTTGCCATTTTCTTTAACTCTTTCCTTCCTGTTCGTATTCTTGCTCTTCTGTTACATTGCTTTCCCACCACTCTACGATTCTGAATATTCGGCCGGAGATATATATGATTGATGGGAAATGGGCAGATAACTGGACATTCCTATGGTAAAAATTGCAATGGGAACAAACTTATAAAAATAATTCTCTCGGTGTCAAGTGTCGTAACAAATAACTGGAAGATTTGGGGTAAAATAAACTGAACAGGGTATGTAGTACAATGTGGTAACACCCCTTGGCTGGTCAAAGCCAGCCTATGTTGGATATCAACTTAAATATCCATCTATCAAATAGTAAAACTTTACAAAGGAGATATAGATAGCGATGGTAAAACAAAGGGGAGCAGAGAAAGTAAGAGTATAAAACAAGGTGTTTAAGATGTAAAAGGCATTCCAACATCAGTAAAGGGAAAAAAAAAAAAAAAAAAAAAAAAACACATACAACAGTACAACAGTAGATAGGGAGAATAGATCTATAGGAAATCCTCGGCTATGCAACAACCAGTTCTGTACCGAATAATCTATCTCTCCATTCTCCGCAAACAGCTTCGAAGCCACTGACGACATCCCCGCATACCCTACCGGCCTCCCGCTCTCTGAGCCGCTTATCCCATTCACCTTGCTCAATCCAGGCTGTCCCTTCTTCACGCGCTTCTTCATCCCGTCGGATCTCAGACACCAGCTCACGCACTGACTTGAGTCGTCGAGATGCCGCGGAAGTCAATTGGCGGGATTCATGCAACGTATCACTGAGCGTGCGCAATGTATGTGTGAGGTCGGATGTTTGAGCAAGGAGAGCTTGTAGGGAGAGAAGTGGGTTCGTAGCAGCGTTGTTTGAGCCTGAGCTTGAGATTGAGCATTGGGAAGGAGAGAAGTCGTGTGGTATTGCGGTAGACGTCGGGACAGAAGTCGTGGATTGCACTGGAAAAGGGAGGTTTGGTAGGACATCGTCTATCAAGGGAATGAGACCGTCTATGGCGTCTGGGGAGAGGACAGGGAAATGTGAGAATAGTAGAGGGTGGGTGAGCGTTTGTAGAGAACGGGTTTGGTGTGTTAGATGGGAGGTGAGAGAAGCGTGTGCAGTAATGAGTCTATAGCTAGCACGTTAGCAATGCGTTCGCAATTTATATATTATGATTATTGCTATGCAGAAGTACCGAGGAAATAACTGACCTGGAAGCACCGCTTTCAATCTCACTCTGCCCGCCTAGATCTCGCAGGCCATGGATAACACGCAGCATGACTTCGTTGCTCTGATGTTCGGCTTCACTATTACCAAACCGCACGAGGTGCTCGATTCCAGCCATCCGCGCCTCCAGAGCAGGCGATATATCCGCACACTCTTCGATATCAGAGTCTGGCCCGTACTCGGAGCCATCGTAGAGAGACGACTCGTATCTGCGATGTCTTTGTGCATTATTCGCCATCATCGACTTCGGTCGTGATTTCGACGGGCGTGGTCCGCCTTCATATTCAGACTCAGAACCGTCCTGTCTCCTTAACCCATTGGATCCCATTCCAATACCCAGATCGTGTATCGAATCAATTAATTCCCCATTCACTCCGTCATGATGGCCACTCCGCATGCCGTTCCCCAGAGAACCAAGATGGTCATCATCATATCCCTCACCATCGCCGCCTGCTTCTGGTAGGCCCGATATATCTTCTACATCGTCGCCCCAGGCATCTGCAAGCTCGTCAGCCAGACTACCAAGTCCTCCGTCCAGTATGGGACTGCCCTCGCCATTCCGGCAGTCAATATCGTTGGTGAAATCGGCAGAGTACCGAGACGTCCTGTCGATAGACATGCGGTGTCGTTGTCGCGGAGTCACTGGAGACTGCGGGAGAGAGCTTCTGGCTATTTGCGGAGAGTATATGCCGTTCGAATGCGTAGCAAATGCGTTTGGAGACGTCGACAGGTCGATGCTCGGTGGCTGTCTGCGGTGTTGCTTCGGGGAAATGGGAGAAGAAGGCATGTTGGCTCAACTATGCTGCCTATGCCAGAGGACGAGTATATATATTCTTATATTCTGTTTGTCTTTCCCAGGATATCAATCAAGATGGCATGTCCCGGCGACTTTGAAGTCTTTATGCTTCTGTCCCTGGCCAGGTCAGTGTTTTTTTTTTCTCTTGCTCTAGATAAATAGAAATATTTAGCCCCTGTTTCCGCTTGGAAGCAGCAAAGCGCCAGGATAACTAGCAGTGGTCGAAGATAAAATACCTTATGCTTATGCCTAGTCGGATAGTGCCGACTCTGCTCTCTCACGCAGACAGCAGCTCGCCGTGTCTTGTTTGGCCCTGCACAGGCGGGCGTTGCTATGCAGATGTAAATAACACCAACTTAGGTAGCTGGACTAACTTGGATGTTCCTTGAAGATTTTAAAATAACCAAACCGCCAGGAAGAAAATCACCACCACACATCACTATGCAGCAGTTTGAAAAAATAAAAAAATAAAGAGAACATTCCAGGAGCAGCTGATACCTATAAGGACACCGCACGCCTTGAAGGGCCTTTGTCGCTTCTTCGCTGGCCTGCTTCGTGGCCGCCGGCTGATTCGACTTCACCATGGCCACGATCCGGCGCATGACGCCCGCCGACCTGCTCAGCCTGAACCTGACCAACCTCGATCCCTTGACTGAGAACTACGACCTGCACTTCTACCTCAACTATCTCATGAAATGGCCGTCTCTCTTCAATGTCGTCGAGGACCGCGATGGCCAGATAGTCGGCTACAGTACGTCTCCTTCGACCTGACCGCTCCTCCTCCGCCTTTGTGCGCCAGACACACCTACGGCGGGCCATTTGTTTACTGGCAGCGGCCCAACGCTCGCTCACGAACGAGCAAAAAGAAAAGAATAACAGATATCCTCTGTAGACGTGGCATGACTGGCTGACTTACACCGTCTACGATATAGTAATGGGCAAGCTTGAAACGCAACCACAGGCCATGCGTCATTCGGAGCACTACACCCCCTGGCATGGCCATATCACAGTGCTCACAGTTGCGCCGGCCTGGAGAAGGATGGGCCACGCACGACGGCTGGCGGAGAGTCTGGAACGGGCCTCAGACAAGAACAATGCGTGGTTCGTTGATCTGTATGTGCGGGCGGGGAATAAGGTCGCCGTTGATATGTACAAGGGCATGGGGTGGGTATTTTGCAGCTTCCTTACTACTTGCCTGTTGCTATGCTGACCTTGCTTGCGCTCTAGGTATTCTGTGTTTAGACGAGTGGTGAATTATTACAGTGACGACCCCACGGGGCTCTCAGAAGAGGGTGAAGATGCATTTGACATGCGAAAGCCGTTGAGCCGCGATGTGCATCTAAAGCACTCTCGTCCAGACGGGGAACACTTCCTTGTGAGTCCTGAAGACGTTACCTGATCCAAGGGGCTTTCTGTGATAGGAGGATTTACACATATCAGCCCCGGCATGTTGACCATGTCACTGCGTACTGGGGGAGTGGCATACGACTGTTATGAATAGTATAAAAAAAAAAAAAAAAGGGGAAGGGGGGAAGGTCTCTGGAGGAGGGTCATGGATAGATTAATATCATAAACAGTATTCTATCATTATTAGTATTTTATATGTCTCTTTTTAAATTCCAAATATACATAGAGAATAACATCATCCAGCATGCCACGCTAGATTAACCGCTTATTAACCCGCATAAAACCACTCTTACGGGAAAAATCAGTGTGTTGATGCCCGTCTTCTTCTGACTAGACATGTATAAACACTTTCGGTCCAGATTTAACTAACCTGGCAATAACAAGGAGTACCCCCGACATCAGTAGACAGGATCCAGCCAGGAGCTGTACGCCCAGATACTGATTCCCAGATGCATGGATGATAGCGCCTCCAATAGGCGTACCGGCAAGGGTGCCAACAGAGTTGAACACGAACGCCATTCCAAGGCGTGTGCCGAAATCTCGTAGATCAGGGGTTATGCTAATTAGAACTACCGGAGGGACGGATACAAAGGCACCCGAGAAGAAGCCGTATAGTATCACGATGGCTATGATACTACCAGTGGTGTGAACCCCTATCCAGCCAAGGGCTATGATTCCAGAACAGAATGCCATAGGTATCATGACATTAAAGGGGCCAATGAAATCGACAAAGTAGTTTGGAATTATCCGGCCAAATGTGGAAGCAGAGTTGAGTATGGCGAGGAGGTAAAACGCTAAATCGGTGCCCATAATTCCTTCATCAATGGCATAGGGCTGAATGTATACCATCATATTGTATAGGCCTAGGAAACCGCAAAATTGCGAAACACAAAAAAGGGAATATACCGGGTCCCGGAATGCCGAAAGTTGGACCAAGCTGCGTCGTTCGGCTGGTTTGAATCTCATCTTCAACAAGGAAACGGAGATGGACATGGTAGTGAAGACAATAAAGCCTAGCACTCGTGTGGTCCATGGAAATCCAAGACTTTTCTGCATCTGTCGGAATACAATGGGATAGACAAGTCCGCCGATTCCGCTACCGGTAGCAGCTAACCCGTTGGCGATGGCTCTTCGTTTCTTGAAGTACTGCGGTAAAACGGCAACACAGGGGACAAACACGCTGCCGAATCCGAGGCCCATGCAAATAGCTTGAGCGAGGAATATCTGCCAGTATTGACTGGCTATACTTGTCATCATGAGCCCCAGTGGGATTAAGACCCAGCCCACCATCAAGAGTTGTTTGGTATAACCAGCATCAAATAGGGAGCCGGTTATGGTTCCAAAGAAGAGCAACAAGAAAGATTGCGTAGAACCGATCCAGGAAATGGTTGAGGGTGATAAGTGGTCAAGCAGGTTATGTTCATAGTACGTTTGGAATACACCAAACGCGGTGACAATTCCCCTATGTGAACTGTTAGCCTTTTAAGGTTCTTTGCCTGCGTCGTGTAGCTATGGATGCTATTCATACCATGTGTTAAAGAAGAGGAAAAAGGAGGCTAGGACTTGGGACCACGCCGTCCAGCCACTGTCATAAGAGTGTTCATTGTTGGCATAGCCGGCATCGTCGACATCGTTATTCTCTCCAGGCATGGTGGTGGAAGAAGCTACAACGCTTCCACCCCCGATTCCTAGAGAGGAAGTTTGGCCTTTCCCATCCTTCTCAAGATCAACCATTCTCACGCATGAGGATGACGAATATGGAGAAACAAGGGAGAAAGTACGTGGTATACTCCATGCGCAAATGGGATTCCATCTTGGATAATATATAAACGGGAGAGTGGAAACAGAGTGGAGAGACAAGGCGATTGAAAAAAAAATGTGAAATAGCCGTTCGGCACCGAAAAAAGCTGAGTCTGATTAATCCAGCAAACGCTACTCTGTAGAAACCAGGTGTTTAGTCGGGTCTTCACCCACTTAGCACCGGACAAGCACACGGGAAGGCCATGCGGTAAACGGCATTACTGGCGGTGATTCCTCCTATTGCATGGCGGAAAGTCCGCAGCATTGACGGATCCAGTGGGGCGGGAAGAGGAACGGCGAAAAAGCAGCGGCATTGGCTTCGGCAGTGTGACGGCAAGGCCGGAACTGTTCGTCGATTTTATTAGTAATTGAACCGAATCTCGAAGCTAGGGATATCGTTGGTCCCGCTTGTGAACAGGTTGGAAAGTCGAATATAACATTGCAAAGGAGAGGTACTAACATTGTTTTGCTGATGCGTGGATATTGAGTCCATGGTGATGCCGAGGGTGCTGCCGAAAGAAAGATACCTCATAACTAACTGGATATCTGACACCCTGAGACATTCGATTTCGACGCCATGCATAGAAATACGAGGGGGTTGCGATTCAAAGACGACTGATACCGTAAGATTAATTCTTGGTCGAGACGTGTTGGCGTTGTTGATTCCCTTATTGAAGGAATTTTCTGTAGCCGTTCTAAGCGGTCTATGCTTGCAGTATTTTCGTTACTCGGGAGCGGAATGTGAAGCGTCGAATCCTGATATCTACAACAGTCCTCTATATATCTCTATATGTCGTATATACCATGAGCTACTTGTCATACCGAGGATTCGGGGGAGATTTGTTTACCTGCGATCTAATTTTTGCCATCCCGCCAAATCAACGAGCTCCCGTAAAAAATGATAAGAATTTCCATAGCTTTTGGTTAAAGAGTATACATCAGTCTGGGGGCCCTATGTTCCGAAGGATATGAAATAAAAACCTAAAGTAGACTAGGCAATGTTGCTCTAAGGAGGCTTCGAACCGCAAGTGTCCTAGAAAGAGAAGTAATAACATGGATCAGTAGGGAGTGTCAAAACATTGCGGCACATTGTTACTAACGAATGTCTTCAAGCACTTCAGCTGCATCGGAGTATTCACCACGCCAGCGCTTGGTAGTCACCGCACCTATAGGCCATCCCGAGGTATCTGGGAAGGTACCCGCGGTGTACAGCTTAATAACTTCTTCATCTGTTCGCTCTTGGTATGGGTCTTCGGCTGTAACGAGGCTGTATATCACACTACCAAATGCAAATATGTCATCCTGAATGGTATATTGGTAGCTTTCGTACTTATACTCATCGAAGCTGGGCAGCCGATACCTAGTTTTATTGTACACATTGGATACCCTAGCTCCGTCCATTGAGCTCGAGGCAAAGTCGGCTAGGACGACATCGAGCGTATCGGTGACCAGTATGTTGGGTGACCGTAGGTTGCAGTGGATGACGCCCTTGCTGTGTATAAAAACCAGACCTTCTGCAATCTGCTTGGCCCATTTAAGGTATGGTATCTTGGATTCAATTATATGCCTTGCTTGGTCTATGCAGCCAAGCTGGTAATATTCCATCTCAGATGTGTGGCTTAGAGGACGAATATATCTTGCAATTCGTGGATGCGCGCCCAATCTCTCATATGCCTGTCGCTCAAAGGTAACCTCGTGTCTAGCCTAAGGGAAGGGCTGTTTGATAACCGTCGGCCTTTTGGTCTTATCATTGGCGGCGGTCGCTCCCAACGCAATTCTCTCCATGCTGAGAGCAATAAACGAAGAATGGCAGCCAGTCAGTAGTTATACAGTAGTCAGATGGTGCTGGGGCCCATAACTACGGGAAGTCTGCGAGTTCGGGATATCGTAACATTACGGTCCATTAGGTAACGTGGACGGGAGCATGCAGGTGGATAGGTATGGATGGAAGGCTGGATCGATAGAGGGTCAGAATAACGTTGATCCACTTTTTTTTTTACCTACCTAGGTAATGGAACTATATAGTTACTCAACTAAGTACCATGAGCAGCAGATAGTATAAGTTAATTAATACTAATAATATACTAATTATATTTATTACAATTTAGTATACAAGTATACTCTATACTTATTACCATACTTATTATTATATATGCCATATGCTTATCGCGGAATCGCCATAGCAAGTATGTGTCAGTTTCTGTATTAGTCATCTTATCTCGCTACACTTTGCTTTAGCACATTTGATAGAGCTTCATCATCATCCTCCTTTCTGATAGTATGTTAATATATATCGGAAAGGAGGATGATGATATTGAGCTCTATCGAATGTGCGAGGCTTTAACCAAGCGAGATGTAGTTAGCTGACTAATACAAAAACTGACAGTGTCTCTGTCTCTTGTCTTCTCTTCTCTATATAATTCTCTATATAATAAAATAATATGTTGTTGGAGCCGGCGTTTGGCCAGCGTCTCGGATATACGATGCGCCGCCGCCGCCACCTCCTTGCTCATCATTTCGCTTAGGAACCTGTCAGCCGATCGGTGATCACCATGTATAGATAGATAGCCGTAGCATTGCCTGCTGTCTTGCAGGCCATCTTATCACTCATTTCTACACCTATTTATCTGCCTTTTTAGTGCTTAGCTAGACGTCGAGGCATTCGTTTGCTGCTCTGTTGCGTCTTGAAGCTCGAGTCACGTGACGTTCCTTCGAGGGACGTCCGTAATTTTGTGTTCACGTGACCAATTTATTATTATATATTCCCGTACAGGACAGAGACAGGGACAGAGAGAGAAGCGACGGGACCTTCACATATTTAAAAATGGGATATAATTAAGTAATTAACTCAGATTTTTGCATACAGGAGGCCGCGTGGCCTAATGGTTAGGGCGTCGGATTTCGGTTACCCATTTTAAAGATATACGATGGGCTTCTACCTCCGAAGGCTGTGCGTTCGAATCGCATCGTGGTCGTTTTAATTTTTTTATAATATTCTATCTCGAACCTCGTCTATGAAGAGGGTATTGATTAATCTAAAGAATATAATATTTATAACGTGGGCTTGATAATCTAGGGATTGAGATTGATATTTGAGGAGTTGAATATCACGACTGGTGCAAGTTGAAGGTATTCCTTTAAGGCTGGTGAGCTGCCGCTCCTTGAATGTAAAGCCCCGGCTGTAGGCACTTCGGGCAAGCTACATGGATGTCCTCGCGTCTACTCGAGCTCCTAAAGGTCGCGTCAGGATCATGAGTTGCTTCAGCATACATTCGTGCTCGACTAACTCCTGTCTTTGAGTTCGGACATGGGTCGGGGACAGGCAGTCCATCAGTCTCGATATCGCCTTCAAAGTAGTCCACTCGTTTGCAATTTTCAAACAGGTGTTTGGTATCCGCACGACATATCATGAGGGAATTAGTGAAGCGGATATACACACACACATGGTGCTGTCAACAAACTGTTAGCTCAGAAGAGAGATGTCAATAAGGTTGGGAGGGCATTCAGTACTTTGTTATAGGTGTAAATTCTTGCTATTCTTTCAGCTCTCAAATTTGTCGTGCTGTATTAACTCCCCAGAAGGAGAGAAAAGCTCGTATATTTATGTGTGGTGAGGGGAAGGGGGCTGTAATACATTACCCCTGGTAAATGGCACGTCTAATCCACTGAACCCCAGGCTATTCTGTTCTTTTAGCACATGCATATGCGCCTTCTGTGATATGTATTCTTAATGGCTTTCTCGTAAGTCTGGCAGGGGGAGGGAATGCTTGCCCTTGGTTGCCTATTTCCAGAATGCTGGGAGGAGGCTGCGAGGCCAGCAAGTGTGTCCAAATGAGTTGCAACTTGCTGTCTATCATTTCCCTAGTTTATTCTGACAAGTTAAGGAGAAACAGGAAGGAAAATCCGAGTCAAAACCGAACCCCATACGCTATGCAAAAGAGCAAAAACTGCTAGTCTCAAGTTACATTGCTTGAGGTATTAGACTAGCATGAGTACACACAAGAGATAGCCACGGCAACTTCAGAGAAGTTCTTCACATGTCCAGTCCTCGTACCTAGAAATGATGTTAGATCGACGTCATTTGGCAGATATCCTATGAAAGTACTAACCATCCGTCTGGAAGGTACCTCCTGATGATTAGTGGGATTTTCTTCTGATTGAGCTCCTTAAGGGCAATTTGGAGTGGATCGGTTTCACCCTCCAAATCGACAAGGATAGGAGCATTCATGCTGTTCGCCGTGCATTAGTAAGTAATTTTACTAAGAGGCCCCTTTCCCTCGAGCTTCAGTAACTCACCTAATCTGTAGCGCACGGGTGCCTAGTACTCTGGCCCGTTCATACTTGGTCATGTATGGTGTTGTTGTCCGCTGATCATTGGCAACTTTCTTCTCACGTTGCTGCAGTATCGTTTTCCCTTGACCCTGGCCGGAGGAGGCATTTGGGTCACCGTTCTCTCCGTTGGTAGTGACAGGCTGTCCATCACCGTTCAGCACCGCATAACCTTCTTCTTGCTGGTCATCCACTGCATAGTCATCGGCTGCAGTATCGTCATAGAAGTCTTCAGCTGGCTCATAGTCGAGGCTAAGGAGGTATTAGCCCGGGTCCGCGCATGAAATTTGCGATAGGGTTGATGGGGTTGGCTTACCCAGTCTCCTCGCGGTCGTCATGGTCATCTCCGCCAAAGTCAGACATCTTGAAGGTATCAGCAAGAAAATATAGATGCAAGAAGTACAAACGAGCTATTTATATAGCTTGGACTGTGCGATCTTTTCCTCGCGCGCGGTGTTGATGGTGTTTCTTCCTTTCTGCGACGTCGAGAGGAAGAAGATGAAAAAAAAAAAAAAAGAATGCTTGGCATGCCAAGATTTCTCAACACCTTAAATCAATTTTTGATAGAACGAGAAAAACACACAAAGCGAAGAAGCTAAAACCATCAACGCTACAACGTCCGGCTTGGGGGCCTTCTTGAGGAAAGGAGGCTTATTTCTGGTTCTGATGAACTTAGCTGGGCGTATGGTCTCTGCCATGTTGTGTTTCTAGCTATCTTCACGGTAGAAATGCTTGCGTTTTGAGACCATCCATAATGACCGCAACCAAACGAAAGGCAGCTGAGGAAGCTCGGAGGCAGCTGAAGAGGATACATCTATCTGAACCGGCAGGTATGCTACCATTACCGCATTATGGCTGTGGAATTCAACCGTTAACGCTGTCAGGCCAAGATGAAATACACGATTCCGACGCCAATTGTGATTCCTCTTCCGTCGTTGACGAGATAGTATGCTCGGATGATGAACTGCATGCGACACCATTGACGCCCTTTTCACCTGCTTCCTCGAAATACCCATCTGAGCTGAAGACTCACCTCTGTCCTTACTCCGGCTGCGACAAAGCTTTCAATCGCCCGGCGCGGCTTACTGAGCATATACGTTCGCATACCAACGACCGGATCTTCGCCTGTACGTACGAAGGATGCGAAAAGAGCTTTCTTCGAGCCTCTCATCTCAATCATCATATCAAGAGTGCGCATACCCTTATAAGAGACTATGTATGTGAGCGTGATGGTTGCGGAAAGGCGTTCGCTACAGGGTCAAGGCTTAGGAGGCACCTTGCAGCCCATGAAGGGCGGGATAAATACACATGCACTGAAATAGCAGAAGGGAGTGGGAAACAGTGCGGAGAGTCGTTTAGGAAACATTCCACTCTGTTGAAACATGTTATGACCGTTCACCTGAGGAAGAGGCCGTTCCCCTGCCAAGCTACACTTGATTCAGGTGAGACTTGTACTGCTGCATTTGATACGGCAGGCCATCTGAAAGCCCACGAAAGGAGGGTACATGGAGAGGCACGGTTTACTTGCACGGAGTGCATTGGCAATGCAGGGCTGGAAGGAGAAACGGGAGATGGAAAGGCATATAACTTCGCGACCTATGCCCTGCTACAATCACACATGCGTTCCGTACATCCTCCGACCTGTCCTAGCTGTGCCCATATATGCTCATCAGCAAAGGATCTACGCCGGCACATGGAAATTTCTCATGGGACAGTGACTGTGGAGGATCGTCGGACCTATCCCTGTCAGCACCCAGGGTGTGAACGCAGTTTTACGAAAAAAGGCAATCTCAACGTCCATGTCAAGACGGTGCACGAGGGCGAGAAGCGCTTTGCCTGCGGCGAGACCGACCTCTCTACGTCTAAGAAAGTGGGCGGGTGGAATGGGATGGATGCTTGCGGGAAGAGGTATGGAAGTAAGCTTGCTCTGGAAGAACATGTGAGGACGGCACATATGGGATTCCGGAATGCCAGGGCCGAGAGGAAAGCCAGAGCTGGTGCTGCTCTTACGGCTACCAACACATTGGAATCTGGATCAAAGCGTACTGGCCCATCTAACGTCGCTCTGCTTACTGGCCAAGGGTACGCTGAGGAGTTAGGTAATCGCCATATACCGTGTCTACTAGCTGAGTGCGAACATAGATTCCACCGGGACTATGATCTCTGGCTGCACATGGGCGCAAAACACGGCATGGATGAGAACGAAGTCCAGCTTCTCTTTATGCAGCGAGCCATGCAAGGCGGGAATGAGAGCTTTGACAGACCTTCATTCGAGTATGAGATGGACACGATTGGGATGGGCGTCGACGAGATTGGCACTGCTGCTGGTGATGGTGGCAGCAGCAGCGGCCTTATCGACGATCTAGAGGGCAGATATACATATTTTCGACCCGATGCTAGTGTCGATGAGATCATGGCAAGCCACGACAGTGTCCAGGAACGGGGCAAGGACGATCGTTTAGGCGGGTTGGGCGACCTTGTCGACCCGCTTCTGACGTACACCTGCCTGGAGTCGTGAGAGAAGAAGTATATCGGCTACGCGAGTTCCCACCATAAGGGATGTAATATCTCTGGGGATCTGTCCCGTCCAGTCCATGTAATAATACGATATAGGCGCATGCTATGCTTTGTTGTCAAAGAGGAGCCTGGCATGCTCCGAAGGCTGATCGATAGAGGTTTTGTCATAATGGCGATAATGAGAAATGAATAATAAAGTGAACGACTATGATTCAAAGGGAAAGAGACAGCACAGCGTCTCGGTCTGTCATCATTCTTGCGGTTGCCACGATGCAAACAGCCGATCAATTGTTTGCTGTCTTCCTTGCTTCCTTGCTTCCTTCGTTACTCGATTCCTTATTAATATTGATTGTAAGGTTGAAGATCTCGTCTTTGCTTCTTCCATCGTGTTGGTACCGATGCCACAAGGATCGACATCAAGAAGCCACAAGGAGAGATTACCTACGTAATCAGCACCGACAATGAAATGCTAAAGACCATAGCTCTTGTCCGCCGGCTTTGTCATATCATGATATCCGTACAAACTCTTCACCGACGTTTCGTCTTTGTTTCGGGCCATCCCCCCATCCAGTTGGCCCTTGGGCCGTGGGGAAGGCCATTCGACCAGCAGCAAGAGAGAGAGAGAGAGAGAGAGAGAGAGAGAGAAGTCGAACGTATCGCATTCTAGCCCTTCGGGATGACTTTTTCAACTGGTACGAAGACAATCCACGCGATTTGCATCGACGGCTGTCGCACATGCATCCGCCTGTATAACACTGGTTAGCCAATGTCATCCCCATCGAGCACAACGTTGAGCTCTTTGGCCGGACGGGGTCGGACCCTGCTCTAGCATGGACATGGATACCCTGATGGCAATTGGCTACTAAGCTCCATCTGGAGTTCACTAAGGCCGGGGGGTCTGTCAGATCTAGTCCAATTGCTGGTTAAACCGGCGGTCTAGGCGGGAGTTGGACTAAAAGCGCACAGGGAGAGAGAGAGGAAGAGTTGAGAACGCGTCACCAGGCTCTCGATGGCACGCCTTCCCACATGCCATGATGTGATATTTATGGCACACACCACGATGTGGAATATTTTATTGAATATGGAGGATCAGGTGTTTCAACCCGGAGAAAGGCTGGAGGCGCTGGGGAAAGGGTGGATCGGCCAGCGCACTCTAAGCACACTAACCAACTGGGCGCTTTGAACTTGTATAAAGTGGATAGGTGGCTTTCTCGTCAATATTATTATTTATTGAACAAGAAAACTCGCTCTCAGGGTGTCATATTTTAATTCTCCCCCGTAGTCAATCAGAGCTGAGAGCCGTCCGCCCCCCCTTGGCCCAGGTTCGATGCTGCCCAGAGAACCAAGTGCCGGGGGGGGGGGGGGGGGGGGGGGGGGGAGCTGGCCAGTTAGACAGTAATGCCATGAACTCGTTCGGTGCAGCGCGAGTGCCAGTGCTACAGCTGGGTGCGATGCGGCGGGCGGTGCTCCCCATCCGTCTTTGGGCCATTTTCATATTCTTCTTTTCTTTTCCTTGTCTGACTGCGAGCTGTACGACGGTACGACGCTGTTCCGGGTCAGGGTGTTGTTGAGCGCGGTCTGAGACATGGCTAGTGAAGATATCATGCTCGCTTGACCTTGACCTGCTTGTATTTCTTTCCTTTTTCCTCCCAGTGATATTGAGTTTGTAAGCTCGTTATGTAGCATAGTTAGCGCCTGCGGGATCAAGGGAAGAGGCAGAGTAGAGGCGACCTTGCTTGCCTGCTGCTGCTGCTGCTGCTGCTGCTGCTGCTAGAGTGAAAAGTGTGGCTGGCGGTGGAGGCGGCGGCGGAACCGGCGGAGGAAAAGGACCCTCTCTCTGCCTCTCTCGCGCGCGCCCCCGGACAGGCGTTGAAGCTGACAAGGCAGGGCCCCCGTATCGTATCCTCGCTCGTCTTGCGGAGCCAGAAGCGTAATTCGGCCGGCTCAGCTGCACAGAGACTGACGGCGTCAAGCGTATCCTGTCTGTAATACCTACAGGGCGAGGTTAGGGCGGAAGCGCTGCTGAGGCCGTCTTGGTTCTTCTTCCCTTTTCGGCCTCGCCAACCTCACCTCACCTCATCTTCTTCCTCGTCCACCTCGCAACTCCAGCAACTTCTGTCTGCAACCTCCATCTCGGCCTCAAGCAGCCGCTGTCCGACTGACACTGGCCTGGATCAGCCGACGCTAGGCTCAGAGCTCACTTGCTGCCTTATTTTTAACTACTTAAGCTCCAGCGCTAGTTTCATTATTTACCGTCATCACCTGGGGTGCGCTGCTTGCTGTCTGTCAATTACTGCGCCATGGATCACACTCTCCTGTAGACACAGAGCACCGGATCAAACGAGCCCTTCCACAGCGCCCTTTGGCTCTCTCTCCTCCTATCCTCCCGGAGACCGCTCTCTCCTGCTGCTTCGTCTGTTTCGTCGCAAGTCGTGGGAGAAATTATCTCTCTGGCTCTCCCGGCGCTTCCACTCCCCGTCCTAACCGCCCGCTTCCTCCCTTTTTACACATGGCTGCTGAACGAAGCCCATAGACACACCTCTCTGGCAGTTTTCAGTTGCCACGTCGGGCGGCTCTCTTGCTCGCTAGAAAGGGCCATATCCCACCGCGGACTTTCAATTGCTCACCATGGGGCGCTTAAGAGGTTGGTCTTATTTTCGCTCTGCTCAACCAAGGCCACCCAGATATCACATCCTGGCAACCAGCTAATTCCCTTCACAGTCCCGTCGTTTCTTTCCTCTCGTCCTGATGGTCCCAAGGGTAAAACTGCTGCGGCATCAGTGTCCTTCTCCACGCCAGATCTTCCTGGAGCCCTAACCCAAGCACCCTCGAACAAGCCCCCAGCGGCCGGGGCTGGACCGGCTCCGGATCAGGAGCAACAGACATCTACCTCCCCGTTCATGAGACGCACACGCAGGTTAAGCAGGCCTATAGCCTCTCTCTGGGCTCAGAAGTCCGCACAGAGTGAGAATGATGACCGGAATCAAAGCCAGAGCCAGAGCCAGAGTCAGAGCGAGAGCCAGACAGCTCCTTCCTCACCTCCATATGATGCAGAGCCTCTCGTTGTCCCGGAGCTGGAGCCTGTCTTCGCCTACTTGAATAATCAGGCAAACAAGCTATACCAAGAGGGATATTTCCTAAAGCTTAATGATTTGGATACCCGTATGCTTTTCATTTTCCCTCCCCCCCCCAATTATAAGGGCCTGGTAAACTAATTTCTCCTTATAGAAGGGCGGGCATGCCCTGATAGGCAGTGGGTGGAGTGCTTTGGACAGTTGGTCGGAACAGTGCTTTCAATTTGGAACGCATCTGCGCTGGATACGGCTGGGGGACAGGCAAATGCATCTCCCAGCTTCATTAATTTAGCTGATGCTACTATCAAAATGGTGAGATATTACCTCCTATTTTTCAACCGGGGATGAACAGCTAACGGTCTAGTAGATGGAAACACTCCCTACCAACAACGAAACGAATCAGCCCCTACAAAATGTTGTCAGCATCAGTACGGCAGGGAAGAATAGGTATCTTCTCCACTTTGATTCATTGCATTCTCTCACTCAATGGACGGCCGCAATGCGATTGACTGTGTTCGAAAACTCACTTCTCCATGAATCTTACACCGGCGCCCTTATTGCTGGTAAGGGCAAGTATCTCAACGGAATAAAACTTATCCTTGAGAAGACAACTTTCAAATATGAGGACTGGGCCAGAGTTCGATTTGGGGCTGGTACACCCTGGAGAAGATGTTGGTGCGTCATCTCTCCTCCGGGAGAGAAAGAGATGCAACTGTACAACCGCTCTCTTAAGAAGAAATCCGCGTACGATCGAGCACCCACACCTCCCAAAGGGAACATCAAATTCTACGAGACAAGGAAAACTAGCAAGAAGGTAGCCCCCATCGCGACCATTTCCGATGCTTACTCTGCGTATGCCATATATCCACAGGCCCGGCCCCTCGTAGACCAGTCCACGCTTGTTAAGGTCGAAGGTCTGGTCACTATTGGAGAGAACACATCGGAGGGCTTCGTCTTTGTGCTCCCGGAAATGCACAATGCCGTCTCCGGATTCGAAACGATGATTCGCTGGTTATTCCCAGCCTATGATGCTTTCCGTCTTTACGGGCGCCCTAATCGTTTGCTGGCTGATACTGTTAGCCCCAACAGCTTGATGTTTGCTATGCCTAGTAACAAGCGCAGGGGGTACCTTGATATCCTTGATGTTTCCGCACTCATTCATACTCAGGGGAGCGAAAGCTGGAGCGCCCGAGAATGGAGAAAGCAGTTGAAGGATGCAACATCACGTCGAATGACGTCAAATGCTGGCAGTAGTAGGACTAGCAGCGTATCAGGCCATCGTAGTGGGAAACGCAGCAGCCTACCTCAACGTACTGGCAACGTGCGTTTTGGTAGTGCGACAGTTGGGCCAAGGAATGGCGAGCCTAATAGCTCGTCTGATACTGTGGCTTCGAACTCACCAACAAAACCTGGAATATCCCATACCCGTTCAGAGTCTGAAAATACTGGCCTTCCATCAGCCCGCCGTGGCCGCCGCAGCCCGCCATTTTTCGAGAACAATATCGGAGAAGACATTCCAGAACACCCACCCACACCACCCCCAGAACTCCCCCAAACAGATGGACCCTCCGAAGTTGATGGAACAGATAGCCGCAGCTCTCCTGACAGCGGCGCTTTCATGGACAACAATCGCCCTGTTGACCGTCTGGAAATTATGCAGAGCTTGGAGCCTAACCCGCCCCCGCAGGGTGTGCCAGTGTCACCTGCTTTCTCGCATGATCCTCGGGGAACGCCTCAGTTCAAACCCCAGCCATCTCCAGAGATTGGCCATGCCGCGAACCGTATGTCTGTTGGTACGCTAGATCAGTTGGTGGATATGAATAAGAAAAATGGCAAAGCAAATGGCCTTGCAGTGGCAGGTGCTACAGTTGCTTGGAATGCAGCTAAGGATAATAGTAAGGAGACCGATATTGGAACGGGGCAACGAGCTGACCCCCGAGGTCCAACACTTAACCGCCTTAACAGCATTGGTGCGTCTAGCTCAAATTACTCTCAGGGGAGCCCTGTAACCCCCAGCGATACTACAAGCAACGTAAACGTCGGAGTCAATATCAACACTACTGATACACCAACTGAGGGACAGTTTCCGGTAAAGCAGCAGGATGGCACTCAAAACCCACCATTGCATAAGCCAATTGCTCGCAAACCTGTTGCGGCAGAAATTCCTATCGCGGAGACAGCGAGTGTGAGAACAGCGTCTACCCTGGGAAGCCTGAGAGATAACATCGATATGGATGCTCTAGACAGAATTATACGGCGACCGCGCTCACCTTCTCCTCCTCCACCACCCCAGCCGAAGTATACATTTAAACAAGAGAATGCTGTTCAAGATGATGCCAGCTCAATTGTGGCTCCATCATACGCAAGCTCGCATAAATCTTCCGCATCAGTCCGGTCCATCCAGTCTGTTCAGAAACCGAGGATGGGAAAGATGAAAGTCGTCGGTAACGCTATGCCAAAGACGGATGATCTTGTCATAGGTGACGCTCGCTATAAGCATCCTGCTGTTACTCCTGTGGAAGTGAGCTCTGATATTCCAGAAGTCGACTTTGGGCCCACACATACCTATAGACCTACCGCAAGACGACCCAGCACATCTGATACTATGCTACTTCTGTCTTCTTCTCATCAACGTAACCCTTCTGAAGGTACCCTCGCAACAAGAGGTAGAAGACTTTCGACTGGTCGTCTACTTGAGCACCTCAACCAGGAATCGAACGAGTCTCCATCTCCACCACCGCCCACGCAGGAACGTGGACGCCGCCGCAGCGTTCTCTGGCAGCCAGGGATGGTTCAAGACAGTGGCCCTATTACCCCCGGCCCGACGAGTATCTCAGCAGAACAGTTCGTTCACGACCGCGCTTCCAGATCACAGATTCATCTTCCAGTAATGCCAACTCGAGCTACACCCCCTCCACCCCGGCCGGCATCAGGAGATTGGTCTGCCTATATCCGCCACCAATCATCCGCTACTCATCTTCCCCAGCGTCCACACTCTCGCGGCCCAAGCGTCATGCTAGATATGCCAGCCCGCCCTTCTTCTCGCGGTGCAAATACCATACTTGACGTTCCCGCCCGGCCATCTTCTCGTGGTGCCAGTGTCATTCTTGGACCTCTTGATGCTCCTGCTCGTCCTTCTTCGCGGGGCGCCAACCGAATGCTAGCTCAACCAGATATTTCTGGTCATCTCTCTGCTCGAGAGCAAGAGCATGTAGCCCGTGTGACTGGATCTTCGTTTCTTAACTTGAATAATAACCAGAGCCCACAATTTGGATCCGGACTTGTCAGTACTATTGATTCCCGGGAGCGTGAGAGGAAAGCTATGAAGGATGGTTTTAGTGGACAAACAGTACAGCAGGCCATTGCCCAGAGACAGTACCAAGCACAAGCACAAGCACAGGCTCAGGCACAGGCCCAAGCTCAGTTCCAACTGCAGCAGCAATTTCAGCAACCCTTGGGTACATCCCCTGGATATGCTGCATCCATGCAATTCCCATATCTCCCTCAGCAGCAATCACAACAGCCACCACAGGCAGGCTATTATGCGCCACCTCAGGGGCAGCAATGGCAGCCTCAGTACCATGCATAACCTGAGCTCATGATCTACTGTTTCCATCCCTTCAATCTCTTTTCTGTTTCGACTCGATTTCATTTTCGCCCATTACACTGTCTCAGTAACTTAGAAGCCTACCCTCCTTGCCATTTCCACAGTTATTGCCTTCATTTTTTGTTTCTTTCTTGTCGTTAATGACCATGACCGCATCTCCATTTTCCAATCACATCCATCTGTCTTCTCATCCTTCGTTACTTGTCCTTTTCTAACCAGATCCTCATTTTGGAACTTCCTTCCCGTCGTCATTTTCTACTCTCAAGTACACATCATTTATCACCTTGACCTGGGACCTAACGTTTCTTTTCTTTGTCCGCTTTGTCTACCATTTAGATCTCGGTTACCCGGAATCCCTCATATCAACGCTCACCTCCGTCTACCTATATAGTCATTATGTTTCCTTTCTAGTTATGCATCAGGAGTTTGGTCTATTTATTGTATTTGTGCGTTTTTACCTCCCCAAATCTTATGCTTCCTCGCAGCTCATGCATGCAACACTATGATAAGTATTACATACGCCACGATACGCATTGCATTGCATTCGTTTTGAGATGGGAACTGGAATCAGTGATAGATTGATTACTGTTAGATTTTCAAAATGCGAAACAAAAGGCATCAGGGAAGGTCTATGGAAAGCAAGGGTTAATGCTAGATACAGTGTTTGGGACACTGATTTCAATTGTATCCGCCTTTTCTCCTCTCACGACTGAACCATCTGTCGAATAGGCGTATCAAAAGCTTTTTCGCTCTAAAGATTCGACTCAAATGACGCCACCCCTGCATAGATTAGATGTAAAAAGGTGTGCCTGAAGGTCCATCGATCCACAGGGGGGTAAATATAGGGTAGAAAGACTGAAAGATTACGTAGAAAGGTCGCGCCAGAAAGATTAATAAAACTCGCTCAGAAGGAACCCCTTTAATCGTATTTACCGATCAATATATAGAACGCCAAAATCGATCATTCCTCAAGAACCAAAAAAGCAAATGAAAAGAAGACTAGCCGCCAAAAGGCAGATAGGCAATAGTGTGACAACGTGAAGGAACGGTATATAAATCAGCTCTTGTGCAACTTCTTAACCCTCAAGCTCCCTTCATAAAGCAAACGGTCGACAGCGGCCGCCACTGTCAATGTACCACCAATAACAGCACAGACACCAGTAAAGAACGCAGAGAGAGATTTTGGTCTAGTTTCGCGATTAATCACTTTCATGGGAGATATCTCATAATTGAACATGACAGATGGAATGCCGCCGCGGGCGTGTTGGCGCTCTTTATGCCCATCGGCGGAAGCATCTTCTGCATCGAGTGATCGTTGATGGGAAGTAACTGAATATTGATGGGTTTCAATACTTCCCTGGGAGCCAAAGAAGACCCCATGGTTGCCCAGAGGAATGTCCCTATGAGCCTGGGAATGTGCCTCACTTGACAAGGTGGGATCCCATCCAAGTGGTAGGTATGACGTTGACACTACCTTCACAAAGTACAGGAAGTTGTATCGTACTTCATTAGTCTTGTGCTCAGATTTGTCAAGAGGGTTAATGGTATCCTGGTGTGTCCATTTCCATCTGCTATAGAGCTCTTCGGGAAGCTGGGGTCCAAACCGGAGCTTGTGTATGATATGGGTCATAGTATGTGGAACCGGGGTATGGTAATAGTTGTCTAGATCGTGGGCATGAAAATTTCCGGCTGTCAAGCTACGGCCGGGAGCAATGTGAAAGTTCCCAGCAACCTTGTTCACACGAAGAATTCCTTCAATACGGCATCCTTCATGTCGTTGCTCGTCAATGCGCTGGGAATAGCCTTCGTCGATACATTGGGCAACATTCTCGCCGCGGCCAAAGGCCCAGTTCTTCTCCGCATAGGCATCACGGACTTCATCACAAGTGTTGCAGCATCCTGGCTTCTTTGCGGTGGAGGGTGCAGGAACGCCGTAACAGTCTCCACAGTAGTTTGGGTCGAGATGTGCGGGAGAGTCCTCTTTCTTATGCCTACATTGAAATACCGGTTAGCAGTGGTTTACGGGATTGAGCAAATTCTACCGAATCGGAATTTGAGCAACTTACAGGGACAATGCTGTCACGTCAATGACTCTTCCGCCTTCTGCTGCGGAGCTGAGGCGGACTTTGTTAACTCCATGATCCACATCTGTCTGGAGTTCGCCTGATACGTCCATGACATCCAGGGTGAGCAGTTCACAGGGGAGGTTTGGAAAGGTCATGTTCAGGTGGATTTCCATCCTCTCGCCTTTAACTAGATGTTAACTTCCCTGCCATGACATCCATAAAGACATGGTACCCACCTCTGCCCTTGTCAACGATCAGCTCAGGCTGAACCACAACTCGTCGATAATCTTTCCATTCGCCCCAAACCAGATATATAACAATAAGCAATGCAGCTATAGTAACGACTCCGCCCGATCTCGTCCGTATCCGCGCATCTTCGACCGTTTTCGCGAAGGCATCAAGACGTGTGAATCGAGATTTGCCAGCCATATCGGGTGGTAGGGTAACCTTGGGTCGAAATCAACCAATTGGTTCGTGGATTAGAAAGCAAACTGCGTATTCCTCTCCAGTTTAGTCAATATACAACCTCGATTCGCGTTGATTGGTATGTGGAGGTAGGAGGTATAGCAACGTGAGCTCAAAAGGCTGTTGCAAATGCGCATCACCGATTCTACAGAGAGAGGAGGGTGAGAGTGCCGAAGTGAGTGACTGGTGGCGTACTGGAGAGCGGTATAGGAGTGCAGGATTCTCGATAGACACGCAACTCCTCGTACACAGAGGGAAGTCCGCCGTCACTCTGCATCGACTTGAAGCTCAGCGGGAAAGGACACATTGAAGATTTGCTCTCATTGGCCCGGAATTTGACTGACGAATTTAAATCACGTGTATATGTACCCACAAATAGCGAAGCTTAAATGGGTAAGTTTTCTTATGTAATTGACATTACATAATATATAGCTACTTTCCGGAGTTGGTGTTGAACGTTTCATAGCAAAGCTGGCAACGACTGTTTCTGATACGGTAGTATACACTCTGTATTCTGTCATTCCATGCGAGCTAGATAGAGATAGCATATATAACGAGAATATGTATTGTGTATTAGCGTACAATTTCAATTCTATATAGTGTAAAAGTCAAAAATATATAAATGCCGGAAAACCATAGCTGGTTTAGGCCAGAAGGGCAGCTATATTTGAATTTCTAGAGTGCATATGCCCATCTATATAAATATAATGACCCCCAGCCTCAATATTAAAAAGGCTTTGTAGAAACATCGCCGCAGGACATTTCGATTACATAAGCACAACACATCTTTAGAGCCGCACTAAGCCCGATTAAGCGCAGCCAGTCACTGGACTTTCTTTTACAGAGGCAGAAACTCGCGAACGCTTTTGCTTTCTTCATAACGTCCACCACTTCATCAGCGCCTCTAATACCGCCCTTATATACCACAGCAGACCGGTCGCTAGATATTCCTTTTGACAAGTATCTTTCGACACACAACCAAGTTCAACGAGCTCTTCCGAACCTTGCATGCTGGCGCGACACAGTTCAAAATAGCGGGCTCCAGTCCATACGCTGCTTGTTCCAGCCTCTGTTGAGGGACCAAGAAGTCGCCAACCTCACCGTATTTCCTAGCGAACGCATTCTTCCGTCATGCTGCAGGTCTCAGGTGGAAGGATGAATAGCTCCAGCAACCGCAGTCGAGGCACCCGAGGCAGAACGGGAGGAACAGACCGCGGTGGCATCCGAAAACGAGGCGCCACTCCCCGGGTAGATCGAGATGGAGACATGGATATGGCTGCCTCTGGTACAAGTGCTGGAAAGGGTCGGATAAGAAGCTCTCGCGGAGTCACTCCGGGAAGATCATCGAGAAGACCAGGAGAGAAAGAAAAGACGATTGATGCTCTCCAAAAGGCTATATTCAGCAGTTCTTCTTCCCAGGCCAATATCAGACACGGACGTGGAATTGCAGATGGAGCCCTGAGACGGAATCTGACTCAGATCAAAGTGAGTGGTTGGAAGAATAGCAAAGCGGCTTCGAACCCCGACGGTGGCGTTGTCAGTCTTGTCGCATTTTTGGAGAAGAAATATGCGCCGCCGGACCAGAACGCTACGGCCCCTGGACGATTCAAGATTACTAAGGTATGTGCAATATCACGTTCACGTTCACGTTCTCGCAGTTATCGACACACTCTGCAGCACTACTCTTCTGCATTGTCTCCGTTTTCTTGTCAGCTGGAACGATGCTTTTTCTCTCTGAGACCGTCCAGACATTCTACGAATGCTATCGAGTTACTGCAAAGAATATCGGTTTCCAAGGTTAATTATGCCTTGCTAACATTCAGTAGTCGCGGGTTGAAGGCGACAGCATGATTATATCAGTTCGACCCGAGCAGGTGGATGGATTTTTACGATTAAATGGATTTTCCTTTGCCGGAGCTCCTCTCACGGTGGAGCTGCTTGATGGCGTCGCTATGGCAGATGGCCCATCACAGTCAAGCCAAGGGCCATCTCAAGCTGCGATCGATACCAAGGCTAAGATGACTGCTTTCCTCGCAAAGAGATATTCGGAGCCAGGAAAACTCCTTGATCTATCAAAATTGGGTACGGATCCCGATCTAGTGGAGATGGGCATGTTTAACAGCGTATCAACGGAATCAAAATTCTTCCCGGCTCTCATGAAAGTGTGCGAGCTTACTTTCGATTCTGCTGCCAAAAGAAAGGCTGCAGTCGTGAGTGTCAGCTTGGCGCATAACCAACTACCAAACCTCACTGCTGTCACTTCTCTTGCGCAAACCTTCCCTGATATCAAAAACCTCGATTTATCGCATAACCAGTTCAAAGACATCTCGAGCCTAAGCAGTTGGAGATGGAAATTTCGCGGCCTCGACTTTCTAGATCTTACTGGAAATCCAGTATGCTCAGAACCAAGCTTCAAGGAAACCATGATAAAATGGTATCCTCAACTCCGGACATTGAACAATGCAGCAGTTAGAACAGCTGAAGAAATTGCGGCTCAGAAGAAGACCCCTATCCCCGTCATGGGCCCGAGCTTTCAGGACGAGGGCCAGATCGCGGAGAATTTTGTCAAAGCTTTCTTTACTGGATTCGACAACAACCGAAACGATCTTCTCAATGGCATATACGACGCAAAATCCATATTTTCGTACAACGTCAACACTGTAGCCCCTCGAGCGGCACAAACAGAATCAACACCTCCATGGGATTCTTACATCCGGAAAAGCAGAAATCTTGTGAAAATTAGTCATCTCCCTGCCCGCGTATCACGTAGCTTTATTGGTACCGACAGCATCCGCGAAGTATGGAATACATTTCCACAAACAAAACACCCGGAAATTCTTTCCAACCCCAAAGAATGGTTGATAGAATGCCATCCTATTCCCGGCCTTCCTGATATCAACAATCAAAGTGCGACTGGTGTTGGTGGCCTTTTGATCACAGTCCATGGAAAATTTGAGGAGATATATCCCAATACCGGAAGCAAATCTCAAACTCGCAGTTTTGACCGAACATTTGTCCTTGGACCTGGAAATGGTCTAGGAGGACTCAGGGTTAGCAACGACATGCTCTGCCTTCGGGTGTTTGGAGATTGTACTGCCTGGATTCCAGAGCATGAACAAGCTGCAGCTGCGCCTGTAACCCAGGCACCTCCGTCTGTAACGGTCACACCGGCCCAGCCTGCGGCAGTTCCGCAATTAGCAACTCAACATCCAGAGGCAAAACCAGGCTACGGAACGCCTCAGCCTGGGAAGTCGGAGGAAGAGCTTAAAAAAGAGCAGCTTATACTGGAGATAAGCTTTAAAACGAAGATGACATTGCAGTTTTCCGAAATGGCTCTTAGTGGTAACAGCTGGGATATGAATTTGGCGCTAAAGAACTTTGAAGAGCTAAAGGTTAGTAGTATAGCTTTGCACATGGCAACCCCTTGCCTCTGAAGCAAGTCAATACTAACAAAATCACGTTCAGGCACAGGGAAACTTGCCCCCTACTGCGTTCCTGCCAGGCGCATAAGTTATGGTTTTTATAAGCCTTGGAAAGGAAGAAACAAAAGGAAAGAGAAAGAGAGAAAAGCCCTTGTCAGCGTTTTACAGCTTTTCTGTTTTTTTTTTTTTTTTTTTTATTAGCATCCATATACTATATTCATCGTCGGTTTTCCCAGGAGATCCTTTTCTCGCAACATACCCAGAGACTCAACTCTGGAGTTACCTTTGAAACGAACGAAGACATTGGCATATCCTGCTTTAGCGGATGGCCATTATATCTTTACCGCTATGTCCTTGGTTTATCGGGAGTTTTCTTGTTTCATTTTACCTGTTGCATGGCGGAAGGGTGTGGGATTTTACCATGTGATGGAAGTGTACTTTAGCTAGAAAAAAACATATCTGCCCAAATTGGGAATGCAATAAAGCAGAGCCATCCTTTAAACAGTTCCATGTCACACACAACTCGAATACATACCCTTCGATAAAGGGCTGATTGGCCTTGGAGTACATGAAAACTCTGTAGGCTAAATCTATGAGGATATCTATGTATGTAGATGGCTTAGGTGTGCCACTAAACAATAATTCCGAGAGCCAAGCTCGGCGAAAGCTCCAACTATCGTCACTTTCTCCAAAGCACCAACGACGGCGGGATTTCTAGCTTCATGAACAGCAGCTTCGAAGAAAGGACATATTTTCACGATATTTTACTCAAACCTCGCTCCTCGAATGCATTGTCTAATGCCGCTGAGTTGAGACCATATAAAGCTATCGCGCTGCCCTTGCTAAAAGCCACCAAATGCGATTAAATACACACTTATTTCAACGTGTTTAACTCTCCATCACCACACCTATGCCAACAAACGGGGAACCAGAGACTGACCCACTGGATGGAGGCAAGTATCAGGACAGATATCTAACACTAAACGGCACTCTAACTTGGAACAGCTGACTATAACCCTATCGAACACCTAAACGCTATCTTCTCCCATCCGTCGACCCTTGCCGCCGTGCCCAAGACCTCCCAAGTCCTCAAGGTATACCAAGATGAACTTGACGAAGATATCTCTACACTCGTGGAAGCGCAGGCAGCTTCCAACCTGGAAAGTGTTGAACGTATCCGCAATGCAAAAGAAGACATGGCCGAGCTGTTCAAGAAGATCGAGGAAGTCCGTGAACGAGCCCTGAAAACGGAGCAGGCGATTACGGCAATGACAGCCGACATCAAGCAACTGGACAATGCAAAAGGGAATTTGACACTGTCTATGACAACGCTGAAAAGGCTTCAGATGCTTACTACCGCGTACGAGCAGCTGAAAGCACTAAGCAAGTCACGGCAGTACCGGGATTGCGCGCAATTACTCCAGGCCGTGATACAATTGATGGCGCATTTCAAATCATACCGTTCGATTGATCAAATTGCTACCCTGAGCCGAAATGTAGCAGATATACAACGGGAGCTGTTGGAACAGGTTTGCGAGGACTTTGAGATTATATTTGCCAAGGGTGAGACAGCGCAGAAGAGAAATATCCTAGCCGAGGGCTGTCTAGTCATGGAAGCGTTGGGAGATATGGCCAAATCACGGCTCATCACTTGGTATTGTAACACGCAACTGAGAGAATACCGTCAGGTTTTCAGAGGAAACGAGGAGGCCGGATCCCTGGATAATATCTCCAGGAGATATTCCTGGTTTAAAAGGATGCTAAAGACCTACGACGAAGAACATATGACAATTTTCCCAGCCTCGTGGAAAGTCAACGAAGTTTTAGCGAACATCTTCTGTGAAGGAACAAGGGATGACTTTAAAGGGATATTGTCCAGGTCAGTTCGCAGCGGACAAACTATGGATGTTAATCTTATATTATCTTGTCTTCAAGAATCCCTTGATTTCGAGCAATACCTTGATAGGCGTTTTACCAATGCTTCCCGTGCATCTACGGATACCTTTGCCTCCAGTGAAACCCCTGTTTTCTCGCAGACAATATCTGAGGCATTCGAGCCTTATCTGAGTTTGTGGGTATCTGCTCAAGACAAACAGCTTGACACCCTCATCCGAAAATACAGGGAACAGCCGATTAAACCGGAGGATGAGGAATATTCTCCACAACTGGTTGTACACTCTTCAACAGAGCTTTTTACGTTCTACCGCTTGTCCCTTGCACAATGCGCCAAACTCTCCACGGGCAACTCACTTGCAGAATTGACAAAGGTATTTGCAAGATACTTGGATCAATATGCTCAGCAAGTTCTACTTCATTATATCAGTGATCGCCCAGGAAATCAGGCTTCATCCAAACTGCCACCATGTGAGGACCTTACCATGGTACTCAACACTGCAGATTATTGCTATACAACTTGCAATCAACTTGAAGACAAAATCAGGAGCAAGATAGATGAGCCCTTCAGGCAACAAGTCGATCTCCAGAGCCAAGCAGATTCGTTCATGGGAATAGCTAGTGCGATTGTCCGCCTGCTTGTACGCAAGGTTGATATCGGATTGGAACCAGCCTGGAGAGAAATGCGGAATACAAGTTGGAGTGCACAGGATGGCGTTGGAGATCAAAGTCCATACGTTGAAGTCCTTTTGTCCAACTTGAAGTCGAAGTCGGATGAGACTTTAGGGATGCTTCACAAACAGCAGTATCAGCGAGCTTTTGCTGATAACCTGGTGGAACATACATCAACAAGTTATATCTCAAATATATACCAGTGCAAGCCCGTTTCAGAAGCTGGTGCAGAACAGGTATGTATGGCCTTTTGACTCCATGTATCAACCTACGGGTATCTAACGCGCCGATAGATGCTTCTTGATAGTTATGGCATAAAAACCGGTTTAACAGGCCTTCTTTCACCAGCACCCACCGCTTTTGTTAAACGTGTCCACCAAAGTTTCCAGAAAATTGATACCCTTCTTAAAACCCTGCAGGTCCGAGCTGTTCCGCCAGAGGCTCTTGTGCAGGCATATCTGATTCATATTGCTGACAGAAATGACAACAACTTCCGAAAATTACTGGATATAAAGGGGATAAGAAGTAAACAGGAACAGAATCGTCTCGTCGAACTGTTCCAAGCTCACAAGACGTCCAATCGCCATGCTCCCAATCTACAAGAGAGCAATCCCTTAATTTCTTATTTACAGCCGCCGGCTTCTCCTGCCCCTACTGCCCCCACTGTAGCACAGGGCCTCGGGCTGGCTAATCTCGGGGGAACCACAGCTTCTTCCTCTGGAGCCAACGCGCTCCCTACACGCTTCGATCCATCAATGCTCGGCTCTGCTCTTATATCGGCTGCTCGTGATGGGGTTGATAGACTTGGAACGCCAGGTTTGGGGAACCTCGGAAATACACCTGGTGGAATTTCGGGCGGCAGTGGCCGTGCCGTGGCCGGCTCAGTGGCCCAGTCTGGATCAGGAACACCGCTATCAAATCAGAACATAAGTTCTACGGGACAGAATGCAGATGCAAGTGAAGGGGCCTCTTCTGCTGCCGCAAACCTGAATGAGAACCTCAAAAATATCGGAAAGTTCTTCCGTCGAGATCTTAGTGGTTTTAGTGGAAGATTTGGAATAGGTGGTGATGACAGCGGTCAGAGGTGAGCGATAGTTAGATTCAGCCTGCACTGAATATAAAACTTGGACTTGCTGGGAATGTCCAACAGTTGTTTCAAATAGACTATTTTGGTTTGGTATCTACGTAGCGTGCCATTGTTAATTACATATTTATTGTATTTATCGGGTCTGGTCCTTGATTCTAAATTATTCCTATCTTGTAGCAGTGGTCATGCCTCAATAGCTTAAAAAAAAAAAAAAAAAAAAAAAAAAAAACAATTTTAAATAGGCGTTCCGTTTACTCATCTAGTTCTACCACAGTTTGATGCTCTAGGTAAAGTTAGTATGAATTTGCCTAAAGAGATACCGCAGAAATGTAATGGGGAAAGCCATACCCCATAATCTGCTTGCTGAGGCTATAATTACCTCTGCTTTTGCGGTTAGTTTTGAGGTAACTCTCTTCATATCTTTATTGTTACTTGCGTATGAACTACTCCGAGGCTGACCCTGGTATTTGCGTTAGGTATGAGGATAATACAGAATGTTAAGGTCAGCTTACCATCATTAACACAGGTACTAGCTCACTAGGTGCAGCTTCAGCAAGAGACCTCAGGGTTTTAAACCCATTCTCCCAAAGCAGCCTTGCCGTTCGACTTTTGACATAGGTCACCTGTGCCATCTCCAATAGATCTGCTCGGGCCCCAGCCTGAAGGCGATCACGCATATGCTCCAACACAACCGCAAGCATATCCCAGCCCATCCGTTGACAGAATTTGGCCATCCCAGCCGCAAACCCGTGGCAGTTTTGAGCAAGTGTCTGTACAGCTCCTCGGGCTATGTTATATTTCTTTGCAATTGATGAGACTGGGATTTCATTGCTTAAGTCACGCAGTTGAAATGCTGTATAGACACGGGTGTAGACTCTGAGTAAAGCTGGATCCTTGATAGAAGCATGTCCCATTGCAATTGAGTTCACCAATCCAGGGTCAACGCCAACAAGTCGTATTGTACGTAGTCCACTATCATCTAGTCCATGAACCTCGTCGCGAAACGCCATCCAGTCAATTTCCGAAGAGGCCTGGAGGGGCGAAAACATATAAAAGATATGCAGTTCCCCATCCATCACGAAAGCCTGCAGAGCACGCTTTAATTCCCCATATATGAAAAGCCCATCATTAGGGCTAAATGCGGACGCGACAATTGCTAGACCAAGCTGTGTTGGTTCAAAAGTCTCATCATTTGATGACTTCACAAGTTTTGAATCCAGAAGTTCCTGGAGAGTTGATTGCACCATTTCGAAAAGGGTATCCTGTGCTTCGTCATTGTGAAATAACAGACTGCTCCTGATGTAATCGTTGATAGCATCACGGCCGGATACCAGCTTAGTAGCAATAGCCTCAAGTAACGCTCTATATTCTTGTCAATTACCGCCTTTTGGCTTGAATAATATCAGGGGTTACCTTTTGATCCCTGCCCTTCCTGGGGCCAACCCACTCGCAATAGCGGGCAATTCAGCTTCCAACAATCCAACCACATCTTCCCAATCCTTATTTGTGCAGCATAAGTAGGTTTCACCAACTTCATCCTTACCTTTTCGGCCCGCTCGGCCACGCATCTGTCGTCTTTTACGGTTAGCACCTGAGATCGCAAGCAACTGATGAAAATCCAGCAAATACTTACAACATTGCAGGCCCAACTAATTCACGTCCCATTCTTGCACCGCAGAGGATAACCCTTCTAGCGGGGAGATTTATCCCCGCTGCTAAGCTACAAGTAGCTACGAGTACTTTGAGGATTCCAGCGTCAAACCCTTCCGCAATCAGCACACGTTCTTCGGTCGTTAAACCAGCATCTACGAGTACAAGTTAACATCTTTCTGATGAACCTAAAGATGTATTTAGTAATGGGAATACTGACGATGAAAAGCAACACCTCTTGGTATAGTTTTGGCAAAGTAGGCATCAAGCCCGCAAGGAAGGCTTTGCAAGCTTGCTACTAGGTCCAAGCGCTTCTCAATAATATCTGCATCCAGAGTGTCTGGCATTGCATCTCCTATGAGCACAGCATTTGTCTGGCAAGCTTGCCTGCTCCCACAAAATACAAGAGCGCCATAACCTGCAGCTGCTGTTTCGCAGGCAAGGGCAACCATAGCATTTGGAATTGGGAACGCTAACTCCCGAAATTCCGATTTACGTATGACTCGGCACGCTGAAGCCGGTACATCATTTGGACTTGATGTGTCAGGTCTGATCATCTTCCGAAGAAGGCCCTTTGTGGTAGGCACTGGATAAATGTAATCTTCAAACACTAAGAATTCTTCGACGGGTATCGGCCGATATCGAGATATATAATAATTCGCATTCAACCACTTTGCAAGGACCTCTGTATTCTAGAATAATTCTCAAAATATAAGCTAGTTGTTCTAGCTCCCAGAAGTCATGAACAAAGGTATAAACCATACCGATAAAGTTGCACTCATGCCGATTATCTGGATATCTTGCTGAAGCAGAAGAAGCTTCGTTACCATGATTTCTATCAGGTAACCGCGGTGTTCATCATCGAGCATATGCAGTTCATCGAGGACGATTACACCTAGCTTGTCAATTGTACAATCTTCAATTGCACTATTGACAAGCGAGTTAGCCTATATAGTGTTAGCAGTATTTTCTGACAGAGTGAAGTTGAGTTGGTGGGGAGTAACCTTCTCGATGGTGCACACCGCGACATCTGTATCTGACCAGGTTGTCCTGGCCTTGCTTCCACCGAAGAAACCTGTAACTCGGATGAAGTTCTCTTCAGATTTGAGCCGAGAAGATCTTCTGGCCCCATCGGCGGAGTTATCAACATCACCAACATCATCATGCGTGCATCGGGGTATCCCTTCAACTACACGTCGGAGCCATTTCAGCTTTTCCTGAACGAGAGCAACATAAGGGAGAACGAGGATAGCTTTTTTGTCCGGGCAGGTAAGGATGCGTTTCAGCATTAATACATCTGCAACTAACGACTTGCCACCCCCCGTTGGAGCACTGTACACCAGATTCTTTTCTCCTGACAGATGTCCCCTGCCTAGGAGGCATGATGCTTGCCATGGATAGATAGCGTTGACACCCAGAGATGCGAAATTCTTGACCAGGGCAGTCGGCAAACCGTATTTTGGGTGGCTGAGAGAGAGGATAGGATTCTGAGCTGGTCCAGGAGTACTGGATACAGAGGTCCTTTGCGAGTACTCCGACAGATTCTGAGAGCGAGAGAACTCACTATTGCCAGAGTTGGATATCAGGTCTATCCTGCTGGGCCGTAAGCGCCTATTATCGTGGGCGTACTGCACAGTGTTGGTTCTCTGCGCTCTGGACTCTGCGTTCAAGACCTGGTGCGCGGTGGTGAAAGCTGGGAGAGCATCATTTTCGGACCGTGACCGTTTCGCACCAGTAACCGCGCCAGCTAAGGAGTGTTCCCAGGCAGCATCGGCACGTTTGGGATTCATATCAGTTGCATGGATGGATGGATCTCCAAATCCGCCTGATGCCCCTGCCCTATTATTTGTGTACCTGTTATCGAGAACATACGCAAAATTAACCGACGGAGTAAATCCCAAACTAACTATGCTATAGTTATATCCCGGCAATCATCCGCGAGAGCATGCATTGGAGCACGATATCACCCTTGCTGTCAGTGTGTCGAGACTTTTATAGCTAACTCACACCGTATGTTGACTCCTGCTCTCTTTCATAGACGTTGGATGTCTGCCTAGAAAGAAGACGCGCCGTCAAAATAGGGATGAGGCTCTAACTGTTCCCGAAACAGGCAAGTTGTGCCGAATCCCGGTACCGTCGGCCACCTGCACCTATTGGGACGGGCAGGTCCTTAAGTAACTACCTTCACTATTCACTATTCACTGTTTGCTGATGATATTACTCTATCCTAGCATCACAGGGATAAAAAGGAGAAGAAGAAAGCCGACGGAAGATATAACATGCCTGGTTCACCTAACTAACTAAATGACTGATCACTCTTGCTGTCGCACAAGGCTTGCCACCTCCACGGCGCTGATCTACGGAGTGTCCGCAGAATGGGCTTTAATTAATCTGTGGATGGCACAGAGGTTCCAGGTCAGGGGAAGAAGATGTCTTACTTTTTGAGCCTGGCTTCTTATTTTTTGGGGCCGACGAATGACGGAGTGACCTCAATTGAAAGACAGGCAAACAAGGATATGGCGGAGTTGATATCCCTGCCATCGCTCTCTCGAAGTATCGCGGATGAAGCTTCTTATTTGTTGCAGAGGAAGAAGGATCTCTACACTGCAGCTGGTTGACCCTGCCAATTTGCTCTTCATCGCCCACGGTTCTTTCTTCGCGCGATTCGGGATGGCAGCGTTCATGGTGTACTCCTCGGGACGAGCCCTGTTCACTGCTAAAGGGAAAAACAGAGATGAAGCGAATGACCTGTGGATCTTGGGTCAGGTGGGAGTGCCGGCCTGTCTTGCCTTTGTGATATGCCCGTGGGTAAAAGGACAAGGTTATTGAAAAAAAACCGCTTGATAGCGTCACAAGCATTCTACTTCAGCGTGTGCGCGTATATAAACACTGCTCATCTCGAGCTTTCTCACTCGTTTGGGGTTCATTCCTCTCTTCGTAACGGCGCATATCAAAAGATGTCAATGTCCACGCTAAGACACCTCCTTTGGCTGGGAGCTTTGCTTTCGGCCACCCTTCAGGTTTCCGCGCTTCCGACAGCTCAGGATCTAATATGCAATGGCCATCCGGAGTACTGTGATCGTCGATATTCGGAGCTGTCATTCGTGGGTGCCCACAATTCTCCTTTTGTTGGACCACTGCTTCAGCATAACCAAGATATCTCTGTGACCGAACAGCTGGATTTTGGTATCCGATTCCTTCAGGGACAAACACACAAGAATGATGATGGTGTCTTTAGCATGTGCCATACATCATGTATCCTAGAGGACGCTGGGAGTGTAAGCTCATACCTTCAAACGGTCAAAACATGGCTCGATAGCCATCCAAATGAGGTGGTAACCCTCTTGATCACAAACGGCGACGGACTTGATATCAAGGAATTTGATGATGCTTTCAACGCTGTTAACGGAATCAAAGACTATACCTTTGCACCAAAGTCCAAGCTTGCCCTCGGCGATTGGCCAACGTTACGCGAGTTGATCACGACTGGCAAGCGACTAATAGTCTTCATCGGTAAGTGTTGCACGTTACGGACAGGAGTGCAAACCTTGCTTCTCCTAGGCTTTAGTTCCTCCTATATACTTACTCTCCCCGAACAGATTCCAAGGCAGATACCAATAGATTTCCATATCTACTTGACGAGTTTTCATACTACTTTGAGACTCCATTCAGCACGACCGATGAAAACTTTCCTCAGTGCAAGCTTGACCGTCCACCCGGCGGCAAGCCCGACGGGCAGATGTACCTCGTTAACCATACCCTGAATGTTAACGTCTTCGGCATCTTCCTGCCTGACCGATTCAAGGCCGGTAGGACGAACGCTGCCGTAGGCCAAGGCAGCATTGGGGCCCAGGTCGATTTATGCAACTCGATTTACCATCGCAAGCCCAACGTGGTTCTCCTTGACTTTATCACCGAGGGTGATGTCCTGAAAGCGGAGAGAACGATGAACGGACTTTGATGTTTGACGGCCTTCGACGGCCCCATATTGCAGAAGCCTGTTTTTAATGTTAATTATTTGGCAACTCTTTTTTCAGAAGTGCCGCTTTTTATGACTTGGTTGACTAGAATATGGATTAATGAACATGCTATAAATTTATGTGTTATATATACATATATCAAATGCCTCAGAGGACTTTCTGTAGTATCAACAGAGTGCTACAAGTCTGGGGAACACAGCTTCACAACGTGAACTCCGTTGCAGGGAACATTGATTTTAAGAATTTGCTCTGTAATCTTTACAGTTGTGCCTCAGGCAAGGGACGAACAAGCAGCCTAACGGTATGCCTTGCATCCCCCCAAGCACCCCCCCATCTGCACACTGTGTCATCAGCAGCATAACTCGGAGCCCGCCGGTAGAGCTGTCCCGCCCTCGCCAGGGATTCAGCGAAGCTTCATGCAGCAAGTCGTCCCTCGCCCAGACTTACCCCAAGCAACGTCGCATCGCGTCCGCTCAGCTCTGCATCGGCTTAACTATTGGTCACAACCGCAGCGCCAAAAAAGAAAAACCACTCCACGGCCTGGCGATCAGCGGAGGAGAACAGGGCAGCATGTGCAGCGTTGGGTGGATGGAGGACGGCCGCGGTAAGCTCACGAAGCTGTTCTTCGCGAGTTTACTGAACGAACTCGTTAGCAATGGGGCAGGGCAGATGAAGCTGGTCCCATCGTCTCGGGGTCAAGTGGTCAACAGGTTGAGGAAACCTGCATCGATCTCCTGTACCTAGCAGTAAGGTATGCAAGAAGAAGAAGCAAGAAGCTGCAGACTCTGTCAGAGCTTAGGAAAGTCCATATCTGGACAAAGATGGTCCGACTATCAGCCCAATGGATTCACTGAAAGATAACCTGTGATGTCCATGCAGCGGCAAGATTCGCTGATCTCCAGCATCCAGAGTCTTCCTTTCTTTTTCCCTCCCAGCTGTTCAAGGACGCCTGTTTTTGCCAGCCTGTTCCTCCTGGTGGTTTGGCCTGAGCAACGCTGACAATTCTTCTCGTTATACGAGATGAACGTGTTCTATACTCCACCGTGGTTAAATGAAGGCTGCTCATGGTGGGCTCTTCGGCGGGATTGCTTATGCTGTGGACGTGTACGTCTGTTAAACATGCATCATATCACATAATAATGCCAGATGCATGTCTATCTATATATCCAGAGTGTATCTATATATAAGAGGCCGATCATCCTCCCTTTGCGAGGAATATGTCCTCTATCACCACCAACACCCTCCTTATTTTCCTCCTTCCGATACCATCTACATAGTGAAACAGCCAATATGAAGTACACTTTTCTCGCCGTCCTCTCTGCTGTGACCGTCCTGGCCACTCCAGCTCCTGTCCCAACTCCACCAAACATCCCATCTGCCTCTACTGCCCAGTCTCTCCTTTCCGGCCTTACTGTCCGCCCCCAAGGCCCCCAGGACGGTTACAGCCGTGATAAGTTCCCCCACTGGATCACCATCTCCGGCACTTGCAACACCCGTGAAACCGTCCTTCGCCGTGACGGTACCAACGTTCAGGTTGACGGCAGCTGTGCTGCTATCTCTGGCTCTTGGTTCAGCCCCTACGATGGTGCTACCTGGACTGCTGCCAGCGATGTTGACATCGACCACGTTGTCCCATTGAGCAACGCTTGGAAGTCTGGTGCTGCTTCCTGGACCACCTCCCAGCGACAGTCCTTTGCCAACGATCTTAGCAACCCTCAGCTCATTGCTGTCACTGACAACGTAAGTGGCTTTCATAACTACTGCCTAGTTTGTGAAATGTATCGTGTTAACAAGTCAATCAACAGGTCAACCAGGCCAAGGGCGACCAAGGCCCGGAGTCATGGAAGCCTCCACTTCGTAAGTTTTTTCAAGTACTGGATAATTGTTTCTCGTCCAATTACTGACACTGTTGTAGAGTCCTACTGGTGCACTTACTCTCGCATGTGGATCAAGGTCAAGTCCGTTTATAAGTTGTCCGTCACAAGCGCTGAGAAGTCTGCTCTCACCTCCATGTTGAACACTTGCTAAACGTGCCCGCCCCTTCCCCTCCAGACTTGACAAGAATTTATGAAATCACTGTAAATAGAGACGTTTTATTCAGTTAATTAGCCTAACATGAACCGTCGTTCCTGGTGAAGGCAGGGCTCCACAATGTAGATCCAACGAACAGAAATAGTTATTTTCCTTTGATTTTTCTCTTCGTTTCTAGGCATGCAGATCTTAGACACACCCGTTAGAAATAAGTCCCATGCCTACACTTGGCGCTTCTTGATCGCAAATCAATTGTTTAATCGTTTGTTCGATTTCGTCGAGAGATTCAAAAAAAAAAAAAAAACGTTTTTATTTGATATCTGGGAGCAGCGGGATATTAACTATTGGTTAAAGTTAGGTTTAAGCTTGATATGTTAGCCAATAAAAATTAACCCTCTATGACAGCGGGCAGTGGATCTCCCTCGGGGAATAACATTATTCCAGTAATGGTATTACTAAGCACTCTATTTCAATGCCTCGAACCTGTTGGGCTTCCGGTGTTTTTGTGCTTTTGACGTTGACCATCACCAACAAAGAGCTCTTCTACAGACCGAAAACCGTGGATACTAGTCTGATGGTGTGTAGGATTGGTGCATCCGGCACTTATGTTCCAATGGGTCTCGACAGCTATACTCTTCCGCCCACCTCCGGCTATACGATTAACCCCGGCCATGCTTTGGACGAAAGGGGTATCATTTTCATCGATACCTCCTAGATGGGTCCTCCTGCGCAGCTACGCCCGAAGTGCTAGTTCGTCGACTTCTCCTTCTATCAGAGATATTAAAGATTCCAGAATCCACATAACCAGCTCTGAACTGTGCAGTAAGATCTACAATCCTTAATAACTAATTACATCAGATCCAGTACCTAATCTTATTATATAGACGATGTCCTTGAAAGACTAGCCCCGACACTTCCGAACGATAAGCCAGTCGATATCATTGATTCATATCCAGGACTGGGTATATGGTCTTCACATTTCCATGAATATGTTCGCCCTCGACGACATATATTACTCGAGCCGAATTTCCGAACCTATGAAGCACACCTAAAACCTTTACTTCAGTCCCCGGGATCGCGATATGTACACGTACCATTAGATCCAGCATTGGATAGGACATTCTCCGATTTATTTAAAAAAGGATACCTGCCTGAGCAGACTGAGCGTACGGAAGGATCCACAGAGGTGAATGACACATTACTAGTTTTGGCCAACATGACACTTCTTCGCTCAGCTACGAAACTACGAGCAACTGACTCGCGAAAGTACTTTGAATCTATGCTTGATCAAAGCTATTTCCACCGCTATGGGTTGGTACGAATTATTGCGATATTTCCGTCGTCGAATCTAGATGCGATCTTACCCAAGAGTATAAGCAGGCGCCGGAGAACGCAGGCTTTACTGGAATGCGTTGCCTCAGAAGCCAATGAAGTAGCAGGAGACACTAGCGAGACTACACATTTGACTCGACGAGGTCTGCCTGTCGTTCAAAGCAGTGCTGAAAGAGCTGCAAAGAGGAATGAGGGTGTGGTTGTAAAAGTGCCTCCTGGCCGAGAGCCAATACCTCTTGAGCTTGCTCCAAAACCTGTTGTCGTAAACGGGGCCCAACATTCTTATGTGCCACGCCCTATTCATGACTGGCATCATGAATATATCAGGGCGCATAGGGATCTGAAGAAGGAAGAACAAAAAATTGACACAACAAACCCAATACCTGCAAAGTTAAAAGATCTAAGGAAAACCTTTGCCGCCCTGCAGAAGAGATATCTGTATGAAAGTTCTCAGATCCGATCGGCGCATGAAGCAGATGACAGACAGTGCGATATAGACAATATAGAAGCCGATCTCCGCAAAGTGATGAATGGCACCCTGCCAGTACCTAGTCGTCGCAAGGCAGGCAAAATCATCAAGAACCTTGCCCTACTCAAAGAAGAGCGAGACATTATCCTCTCATCACTAGGAAAACAATTTATCCGCCATCATTATCCGTTGTTTGTGAACGAGCGGCGCTGCGTCGCTGGCTCGCAGTCCAGCCCATCCGTCGAGCCTCTCTTGCTCTGGGACAAACGGGCATATGAACCGCTGCACGTTGAAAAGCATGAATTTTCCCCTAAAACGCCATGCTCGATCGTTGACATCCGGCCAAATCCTAACTCTTATATCTTTGACGCTCAGCGGCAATACAAGGCTGCGAACGAGTCATTCAAGTATATTTCCGTCCTGACTACGTTCCGCGCGTTACTAAGGATGTTTATACCCTACCCTAAGAAATCGATTGAGCAGGTTCTGCGGCTACTGTTTGCATCTAGGCCAATGGCTGATTTCCCGTCCGCTATACCTTCGTTGGCGGAATATGCTACGCCCAAGATCACGGTGGATGCCAAGGAGGCAGCTTCATGGAAACATGTGAAAACTAATAATAGAAGAGGTGTGTTTGTAGGATATGATATGGACTGCTTGGCTGAAGCTACATTGCAACGTATTCCTAGCAAGCTATTTTGGGATATTGCTGTGGAGTGGGAGAGGTGGCGCCACGAGAAGAATTTGCCAGACACACTGTCTAAGTCGCTTGGTGGGGCATTTATCTCGGATATGAACGAAGCATTTGAAGCCCGGCGGTGATTCAGCTTATTCGTTTGCATCAATGTTACTGTGATACCAAGGAAATAGAGCTAATGCAAGATTTTGCCGTGAGGCAATTATGATTCCATTTTATGAATGAATGGACGGTCTATGCCTCAAAGGAGTGTATACACTATGGAACGAAAAGTTGAAACCTCGGAAGGGGAAAAAACGGATTGAGACAAGGAATTAACGCCAGGTACACAAACCATGAGTCTCAAAGACAGAATCCGAAATATAAAGAGCTGCCATGGGTAAGTGCAGGACACTCAACAAATAGCAGCTGACATGGTCAACATAGTGGGAAACGAACGGGATCAACTGACTTCATGCCCAATATAATAATCAGAAGGGGAAAAAAAAGCCGCCAGTAGTTTAATGGCCGCTGTAAGCCCTGACATCGACTTAGTTTGACACCAACTTAGTTTGACGCCTCGTCAGGGTCGTGGATGCGAGTCATCCGCAGACCTTCATTTATATCCAACCGAGCCAGAGTATATAATTCACGAATCTTAAGGAATTCGAGCGGCCGCCTTGCTGGCTATCATTTGTATCATCTGTGCTGTCGAGCTTATCGTCACGAGACTGGCTATCACTTCTACCATCCGGCATATCAGGTTCATCGTTGGGAGTGTCGTCGTCGTCGTCGTCATCTATGCTCTCGACTTCCCATAGAACACCCATACTTAGCTTCCTTTCACCTGGCGGCGTTTCGGATCGTTCACGAGTTAGCCAATCCTGACCCCTTGGGCGACTGGCTCCATCCGTTTCTGCTGTTTCCTCTTCAGAACTGGAGCTGGAAGAATCAAATAGGTTCATGTTTAAGGAGTCAGGCGGAGCGAATGTCCCGTATCGTTGCCCGATTTGCACTTCCGCTCTCTGTGGCAGCAAGGGTGATTGAGTCGACTTTGGCCGGTTCTCTTGAGGTTGAACAGCGACATCGTCCTCATTGCTCCTGGCATTTTCACACACACAGCAATCAAGCAGCGGTGGGATGACTTTCGGCTTTTTCAAGATATCCACTCTGCCACTTGGTGTTCTAACAGTATACCCCTTGCGGCTGAGCTGTGTGCCACTATTGATGGTTGCTACATAAGTTCCTGAACTTGGGAGTCTGCCGTGAGATACGGGATGCATGTACCTTATCCAGCAGTTGCGATACCAATCTTGGTCACCAAGCTTAAGGCCCTCGGGTAGCTCGTCCAAGGGTATCAGAGGAACCTTCGCGCCGTTTGGTCTAGTGATATAGAAGTTCGGTTTAGCTCTGTTGACTGTTTGACTAGATGGAGGTCCGATGGTCACATTACTGAGGAGCTTTGCTACACCCGGAATCCGTCCCGTGGATGTGTCCTTGTTTTCTTGGGTTTCCGATGCTAGTTGGCTGTTGATATCGTAAATATAATCTTCTTCGGATGATGGCTCCTCTTCAAAGTCTGTCATGCCCGGTGTGGCACTGGGATGCATATGAGTAGTCCCGTTTCTCGGAGGTGTTCTGCGGTTAGAAGGCCAGACCATTCGAAACAAGGGGGTGACATTAGACAGCAGGTAGGCCATGGCTTATAATGTGCTTCTGGTAGTTTCTATATCCGTTTTTAATGATAGTATATATATTGCAATAAGAAACCAAAACACAAACCAAGCGAGGGTTATCACAGACAAGGTGCAGTTGAAGAATATAGAATTAACAGGGTTGCATCAAACGAATGTATATATGGTTAGGACAGCAAGTATATGGATAGAAGAAAGGGAGAGAAGACAAGAAAAATATTATTCCATCCTTTAGATATCCATGTTTACTAATGTTTGATATTTGATATAGAAATTGCAATGGAGCTCCGTGGAAGGTGAGAAGAGCAAACAGTAGGCTCAAACTGAGAGAGATTATATAATGACAACGCAAAATTGATACTGCATCTAACGCTATAGCTGACTGGAATGAAGAGCTTGGTTCTAGCGATGCGAAGTAAAAGAAGAAGAAGAAGAAGAAGAAGAGAGAGAAAAAGGGAAAGAGGAAAGAAAAAGGGATGCAGGTTAGTTAAAAACAAACGCCAGTCTTATCATGCTCCAGATGCTGGTAGTTAACAACAAGGGAAGGGGGTAAAAGTACAATCAATCATAAAAACATCACGTAACCTACAATCAAAGCAGGAGGAAGAATGATGGGTGGAGATGTAGGAAAGTCTATATTTGTAGACAAACATTCAATCCATTATTTATGCAAGGGCCGCAATCTCGCCCCTGATAATGCCCAACCAGTGCTCTGTAGTCACTCTGCTATCTGCATCTTTTAGAACAGCAGGAGATATAACCCTCTCTACCACCCCCTTCCGTGGGACTCTAGTTCCCTGCTCCCCTGCGCGGACATAGTCAATCACACGGTGGCCATCTCTTGCGAGAGCGAGAGCTCTATGTCTCTCAAGTCCCGGGTACACCTCTCCATAGCCGATTGCTGCAGCGACCAAGGTGAGAGCCAAGGCGAATATATCAGACGAAGGTGCTGGAGTTGGTGGTACTGTAATGGAGCTGATCGATAAGAGTTCAGGGGCCGTGAACGGAAGACTGGTGGCTAGCCGAGAGCTAGCGGTCGAGTTCAGGGCCACGCTGCTGTCATGAGAGTAGAGAGAAGAAGTAAAGTCGATGAAGAGCAGATCGAATGAATTCGCTGCAGTGTCATCAATGGTCCCGGAACTGTTTAATGCCGTAGTAGTAGGACCTCTACTGCTGCTGCTGATGCTGCTGATGCTGGGAACCCGCGGACGAAGGAGGATATTCTGGGGCTTAATATCGCCGTGGACCACGCCTGCTTCATGCATCCACTGAAGCCCCTCGACTAACTTGTCAGCAAAAGATAGCCAGGTTGCCATTCCCAGGACAGGCTTAAACATGGTTCTGGTGTTGAATACAGCAGCCGCATCTTTTGCTCTGGTTTTGATGTACGAGGCAAAGGAGAGCGGGATGGCAGTCATGACGATGGCATGTTCAGAAGCAATATAGCCATGAAATGGCACGATATGAGCTGCACTGCCTGGAATTCGATGGAGAAGAGTAAGGATATCTGCTTCGGCGGAGACTGCATCGTGCGCTAAACGTCCGGAGGCCACTTTAACAGCGTACACAGTGGTATGGGTGCTCCCGCCGCCGCCGCTGTAGCTGCTGGTACGGCTGTTCCGGGGCCCCAACAAAGGAGACGAGGCCGAAGAGCCGCGAGTGGGAGTCTGGGGTGGCGACGTAGCCAGAAAAGCAGCGTGGTCGATGCTGATGGCGCTGTAGACGTTGCTCCAGGCGCCTCTGCCGTACTCTATTCGACTACCGTCCTGGCCATAGCGATACTTGAGTGGCAGGGAGCATTCGCTTGGCCCGTCGAGCTGCGCTGCCCACAATGGAGGGACCTTGGAGTGGGCGCCGTCGAGCACGGGTATGATTTGAGCGCCGTCCTCCTCATCGACGGGGGTCAGGGGCGGCGTCAGGTTAGAGCCAGGCGACGGGGTGGAAGCGAGGAGGGTCTTGGCGGCGGCGGAGGCGGCGGGCGGCTTTACTGCCAAGGGCGCCTCACGGGCCAGCGGAACCATGCCTGCGATTTTTCTTTATCCCTCGCTCTTTGTGTAGAAGGAGGGCTGAAGTGACGAGGTAAAAAAAAAGGGCGAGGTCGACAGCCGGCGAAGGGACAGCGAAGGCGGTACGAGAGAGAGAAGACGCCTGGAAGAAGGGATATGAGTCAGGAGGAGTGCTCGGAGCAGCCCGCTGGTGAAGAAAGAGCAGGAATCAGGTGGGCTTGTGGGATGCAGAGGGAGTGGCGATAATATATATCAAGTCAGGCGGGCAGCAGTCACAGTCAGAGCAGCCTGTGAGAGAAGTGGGTAGAGAATACGAGAAGCGACAGAGACGAAGAAGCCATGTCGACAGCGAAGCTCGATGGATTTCTTCTTCTGCTTATTATTTTTCTTCTCCTTTTTTAGAGAAGAGGCCGGCGTAGCTAGATGGCAGGTGAGGCCAGCGGTTTATATAAAGAACGGGCTCGAGAGGACAGGACAAACGGACTGACGGCAGGACAGCAGGCAGCCGGTCCCTATATACTCCAGCTGTCCGCAGGAGACGAAGAAGCAACGGAAAGACGAGCGCACAAGAGTCGAGAAATAAGAGTTGGCAGCGACAGGACAGTCCCGATCAGCAACGGCGAAATCTGCGATTGCTATTTATCATTCAACCGCAATGGGGGCTTTTTTTTTTTCTTCCTTTCTTTGCTTCTTCTCGTTTTTTTTTCTTTTTTTCTTCTGTTCTTCGTCTTCGTCTTCTTTGCTGCTGCTGCTCTCAGCCCGGTGCGAGAAAATAAAATGACTGTATTTCTGTCCCTCCCCTCCCCCCCCCCCCCCCCCCCCCCCGTCGCCGCCCCTGGACCAGAGTTGCATGGCAGAGCATGGGAATAGACATCGGCCAAGTGACTGCCTGCGGGTTCGTAGCGACAGTGACTTTAGGCGCTAACAGGGAAGAAGGAAAACTCTATGAGCAGACTCATAGCAGCGAGGACATATAGCCCGTTTCTCGAAAGAAAAGAAAATAACAGGCCGAAAGACCAGTCAGTGTGGTTTGTTTCCGGCGATCTCGAGAGCGAGAGTCCATTCCATCATCATCCATCCATCCAGGCCATATTTAGATATATATGTTAATAAAGTGAACGAAGTGTACGGGGCATAGGAGTCGAGCAGAGGGCTGTCGGGCAGCAAGCTTCCCGTCACAGCCTCCTTCGGCCTTCCCTGGAAGATCGCGCGCCTCCGAGCAGAACGCTAGAGCATGATGCCGTCACGGATCGCCGTGGGCGGAGAGTTGTGACTGGCAAAGGAGGCCTGCTAGCAGTTGCAAAGCAGAATCAGAAAGTTCCCTCGGTGGATGGAGAAGTGGGATAGTCGCCGTCCATGGCGAGGTAAAGGCTGGTCGCTGTTCCCAGCCATCTTCCCTGTTCTCAGGGCCAGCCGTGGGGGAGTAATTTGGCCCTGCATGTCTGAGATACGAGATGTCGCTTGACGCCTGGAGTTGCACAGTAGGCGAATAAAAAGAAAAAGATATAACAGTAGCAGCCTGTCCTTGCCGTGACGTCACTTGGACGTTAGGGCGGGCGGTTCGAAACGGCGGGTTGGGTATCAGTGGTATCAGAGAGGGAGACGATGACGATGGGGAGAGAAAAACGATGAGAAAAGAAGAAGAGTTGAGATTTAAGGATAGGGATGGATACTTGCAGTCTTTTTATGTCTGGTCATGAATCATTTGCTCTTTGCATTTCTCTATCCAGCTCGCCAGCCTGCAAGGGCCCTCAAGTCTCGTAAGTAAGTACCAGAACCAGCTTCCAACAAGGCACAAAACAGCAGAAAAAGGAGCAAAGGACACGGCAATCAGCATACCAGGAGACCAGAAGACCATCCCATCATCCCTTCTAGAACCGCCTACTCCTCCTACTCTTTTATTCCGTTTCTTTTTTCTCTCTGCTTCTCGCTTCTTGTTTTGTCAAGATAAAACAGGGACAATGAACACAACACCGTGGTAAAGACGAACTCATGCAATGCAGCTGCAGGATTTTGGAACGAGATCAAAGAAAAGGGGGAAACATGGAGAGGGAAGAAAGGAGAAAAAAAAAAAAAAAGAATATAATTATCATCAAGAGGCATTAAACAACCCAACCGAATAACAGATCTTTGAGCGAAAGGGAAGGGAGGAGGGGGGGGCGGATAAAAAAACAGATAGAAAACAACAATCACTTCCTCAACTGCTCCCTTTCAACCTCATACATAAAATCGAAATAGGACTTGTCAAAATGATGAACACGGACGTATCCGTCTTCTCCGCCAGACGCATAGCCAACGCCAGCAGGGTGGACGGCGATCGTGTTCAGGGGACCGAAGTGGCCCCTGACACGACCGATCTCGTCCTCGAATATTTTGTGGTAGAATCGGGCCTCGAACTTTCCTTGTCTGGCGGAGGTGGTGGTCACGTCCATGGCAGCCTGGCCACCACCAAGAACGACGAAGTCCTTCTTTGCTGTTATGGCTGCTGTGTTGAGAGGGGTATCGGCAGTGTAGGTCTTGAGGATTTCGAGGGTGCTTGATGAGAGGATCTAGGTGGGTTAGCATGACGGCAAATACGACAACTGTAGAGGGGAATAAAAACTGAGACGCACCTTGGCCGATTTGTCAGAGCAGGCGGTGATGAAATAGGTCCTGTCAGCGGAGAACTGGAGATCAGTGATCTTGCAGTCGAGCTCGTGTGCCTGGACGTTTTCTAGCTGATCGCCAGTCTGTACACCCCGTTAGATACTTGTAAGTCTCAAAATTATAAGACTAATCGAGTGAGTGATTTTTACCTTTGCGTCGTATTGGCTGATGCTTCCGTCCTCGTGTCCAGCAATAATGTATTTCGCCAGGTAACTCCAGCCAGCAACGGTGGCCTTGCTCTCCTCGCAAGTGATTTTCAAGACGGGTTCGTCGGCCTGCTCGTGCAGGTTGTTCCCCTCACCGTCTCCGTATGCAATATCAAAAACAACGATGGTGCCCAGGTAGCCCATTCGCTTCTCGGTAACCGCCAACAGCTTCGATCCATCGGCAGAAAACTCAACCCGCTTCACGGCCGTAGGAAAGTCCCATGTCTTAACGCACTCGCCGGTCTTGATGTTCCATAGCTTAACGGTGTTATCTGCCGCTCCCGAGGCGAGCAGTACAGTGTTGGGGCTTGGGTCAATGGTCCATAGCGCACCCTGATGGCCGGAGTAGGTGCCTAGTCGCTCGCCGTTCGCATAGTACCAGACACAGATGTTCTTATCCTTAGCTACCGAGAAAAGCAAATCGCCGTCCCGCGAGAATTTGATCTGGGTCAAGGATCGTTCCTAGAGGCGCTGGGTTAGCTGCTACTTCGAATCTTGAATTTGCGTGGGGGGGTGACGCTATGAAGAGAGAAGTGGACGAGATAAAAGGGACACGAACATGACCCTGGAGGAGGATTGGTCTCATTTTGTATGAAATATTTAATATGACCGTAGATACGTATGCAGCTAATCGTCTTCGTGGCTCCGCGTACGGGTCTGTCCTTGTTAAATCTGGACTTGCGCTTCGTCTTCGCCTGCGACTTTTCTGACTCTAATATTTTTGTTCGCCCACACAGAACTTTTACATCATGGCTGACTAATACGGACTTTTGTTATTCCTCTCTGGTAGGTCCACGCCCGGGCGCCCGACAGCATTAGGGTAGGTAAAAAACGAGGAGCAGGAGAGACAAGGCGAATATTTTAGCTGCGAGACAGACAGAAGTCGAAGATTCTGCAGAATACCCCTTCGTTTGTAAGGCGCGAGTGTCGCTTTATTGATAATTCTGTCAAATACTAGACCAAGTCACCTGGAATAGTCGACAAGCTCTACAAAATGCATAAGTCGAGGATTGAAGGCTCCAGTCTATTCCAGGTCATCATCCACAGGTGACTCTGCAGTATGAATTCAATCCTATTGAAGTAATTTGCTCCCTATGCCCTCAAAAATGGTCAGCCAAGAGGGGGTAGCATCTCTAGTTGAAAGCTTTCCTTGGAGATATATATATATATGTATTAAAAAAAAAGCCTTTACAAGGCATATGGAACATGGAGGGACAGCAAGGGGGTTAATAGGAATCTCCTTGCTCGCTTTTGCCTTGATTTTTGATTTTATCCCCACACCCCCGCTAATAGATACCGGTTGTAGGCAAAAGCATCCCATACGGCACAGGCGATAATACTGAACATTACAAGAAGCTCCCGGCCTGTCCCACGTTTTATAAGGCCTGTCTCTGAGGTATCGTAGTATTCTGATTCTGGAGATGAATGGGCCTGTTGCCATTACTGATTCATAAGTAGTATACTAGTGACTTCAAAATTTCGGCTGTAGGCTAATAATTAGGTTCGACTAAGATCGCGACTGGTATATCAACGTATGAAAATGTATTACCAGTTAACGAGGCATTATACTACCTCACGCAAAGAGATAGAAAATTTAGCACTGGTTCCAGACTAATAGTACAATATATTGATGCGTATTGGGAGAAGCTGAGAGGCTCCTCGGCTTGATAACTACCTTGATTGTCTCGCTCAATCAGGTTCCTTTTTGCTGATTATACTTCACTTAATCTATTCAAGAAGAAATTAAACAGAGCAACATCAAGTTTTTGGTAATATGAATTAATATTCAAATTTCATAGGACCAGGGGATAACCATTACCATTTACAGGGGCACTGCATCTTGGTAGCACCTCAAAAGTCCTTATCGCGGTTACCCTTGAATTTTATAAAGAATCCAATCTGACAGAGTATTAAGTATGAATTTAATAAGTTGTAGACATACTAATAAAACCTAACAATGAAATCTCTGTACTGATAAAACTCTCTAGACGCGAAAGATGACTAATTACATATAGTCGTCGCGCCAAAAAGTTTAACTGGATGCGGACCGCCCCGCAAACCTTAAAATATGGGTTTAACAAACTTAGAATTTCAAATTGGCCTGGACGCCGAGTTTTAACTGGGTTACTCTAGCGGCAGAAAGTCTGTTAAGCGAAGATATTCTAATAATAGATTATTTTGAAACCTTACTAGCGCTAATCTACATAAGTATGCTGCCAACGCTCGGTTTTTGTTAAGGCGGATAAGGGGGCAATAATATCAAGTTTCTCAATGATGGTTCTGGTAGAATGAGGACGAGGAAAGCAGGGAGAGAAACAAGGTGACTAGCCTTAATTCATCAAAAGACGGCTACGAAACGTGACTCAATATCAAGCACGGGCGTAAAACATTACACGAGTCAAGATAGGAAGATGTAGCTTGTACCCGACAGACCCTAACACTTGGAAATAATGAGGCATATATAAAATATTTATGCACTACTTCAGGTAGTAACGCAACCACCATTCTGTATACCTTTCGGCTAGATATTGTGTGGCTTATTGTACAGATTTTCAGATCCAAATATACAAGGCTTGCTTAGTTCCTTTTCATAGAAGGGGCCCGTAGAATAAACTAGCTAGCCTAGACGGACAAATTGAAATAGAAAGAGGGAAATAAAAGGTGGCTTGAGTGCTGTAGACATTTGGCTTTGTAGTTGATAAAACCCTGGGAACATTCAGTATAACTTAATTTCTCTTCGATAAAGCCTCTAAGAAAATTGATCACTTCTACTCAGCGGTATATTCTCAAATGAGTAGTAATTAAATCAATCAAGTAACTGAAAGGTAGATTCTGTAATCTCGAAGGCCCATAGCTCTGTACTATTGTATTTTGCCACCCGAGAAAGGGTATGTCGGCTTAGGTCAATGTTCATGTTGTGCCTCCACAATTAGGCTCGGGATTGTCAAAGAGGCTAAATATTACTGTATAGAGGTGTACACTCAAGTAATACAGGTACTTGCTTTGGTCTATTTCTTCTGGTTATATTGGACAATGGTACATCTTCTGGATATACCTGATCCAAGAATTCTGCAACTGCAGTAACCGTCAAGGGCATCTTCGTTAATCGTAAGTGATGGGTATAGTCATCATTCTCAGACCGAAAAAGCTTTCGTGCTGTCTTTTTCTGGTCTTAGTTCTGTAATAAATGCTTTTGACCTGGATATAACCGATACTCGACGGATATACAGGGGTAAAAGAAGAGAGGATGGTATAATAGCGGTAATCCTGAAGAGGCCTTTCCTTAGTGTGGTGATAGCAGACGACGACAGCTCAGTTGCTGCGGAGGTTGTGGAGTAGCCAGAGTCGATCATTGACTTACTGAGGCAGTAACCGACTGCCTTTCCATAAAACAAGATAGTCATGACTTCTAGCTGGCTATGAGAGCCAGCTGCCTTGATAAATGTGCCTTTAAGGTATAATAAGCCCGTACAGCTGGTGGTTGAGTTGGTTGTTAACTTAGCTGTCGGGCGTTAGCTAGTTAACTAGTTACCTTTTGGGATGCAGCCTGTCGGTCAATCGGCGTGCTTGCTACCAGGCGCAGCGCCGTCAAGGACAGTGCACTCTTGCAAGTAGAAGTAGACAGTGCATCATCTAATCTCAGCATCTTGATCTGTGCACCGAGTAGTCAACACGCTATCTAATCTACATCTACCTGTAGTTTGAGCCTCAGGGGCGGGCTTTATCTTATCAGTCAGAATTTTCACCTCAACGACGGCGAGACAAAGAGGCGCGCCATCATGAAGCCCAGGATAGCCGACCGAAGAGAATAACCCAGCGCCGACGACGACGACGAGCCCAAAAGATGCCAGCAGCGGCATGCCTCGCCCTGTCCTCCCGCCCGCTTCTTCGCTGCTGCGCCGGCGGCCTCTCCTGCGCCTGACTGCTGCCGCTGCCTCCCTGTCGCCGGCCCCGCCCGTCCTCACCCTCTCCAACTACTTCAGCTCGTCTCCCCGCGCCGCCTCGTCGCTCCCGCTTCCTCTTCCTCTCGTTCCTCCGCCCTCGCTCTCGTCTTCCGCACCGCCATCGCTAGACCAATCGCCCTTCGCCCGACAGTCGACCACCACTGCAGCCATGGGAGCCTCCAAGATAGACGGCACTGCCATCGCAAAGGCCATCAGAGAACGCCTCAACGGCGAAATCAAGGAGACCCAGAAGACGAACCCGCGCTTCAAGCCCTCTCTCGTCATCTACCAAGGTGAGCCCTTTGCCTGCGAATAATTACTAAGTGCACAAGTATACTGACTGCAATGGGACAGTGGGCGATCGATCAGATTCCAGTATGTCTATCCTGATAACCGCCACTTCGACCGTGACTTGCTGACCGGATAGGTACCTATGTTCGCATGAAGCTCAAGGCTGCCGAGGAAGTATGCTCTTTCATCCACACACTTATCTATTCTCTATTGCGTACGCCTTCATACTGATACAGCAGTCCAGGCATCCATTATCTGCACACATGTCCAATTGCCAGTGGACACCCCTCAGTCTGATATCCTCGCCCGCATAACATCTGACAACAACGACCCCTCCGTCCATGGCATCCTGGTTCAGCTACCTCTGCCTGACCACATGTCCGAGCATGCTGTTACCTCTGCTGTCGCTCCCGAGAAGGATGTCGACGGTTTTGGTACTTTGAGCATCGGCGAGCTGGCCAAGCGTGGAGGGAAGCCAACCTTCATCCCATGCACGCCGCAAGGTGTCATGGAGCTGCTATATGCTAGCGGGGTCGAGATTACTGGCAAGCACGCTGTTGTTCTTGGGCGTAGTGATATCGTTGGCAGTCCTGTCAGTTATCTACTCAAGAACGCTGATGCAACGGTCACTACATGCCATTCCAGGACGAAGAACGTCGAAGAGATCATTAAGACAGCAGATATTCTGGTCGCGGCCATTGGGAAGCCAGAGTTCGTCAAGGCTGACTGGCTCAAGCCTGGTGTGGTGGTTATTGATGTTGGGACAAACTACATACCCGATGACACCAAGAAGTCTGGCCAGCGTCTTGTTGGTGATGTCGATTATGCATCTGCCGTTGAAGTGGCCTCACAGATTACTCCCGTTCCCGGGGGTGTAGGCCCAATGACAGTGGCCATGCTACTGCAGAATGTTGTCAAGTCTGCGCGCTTCTACTTTGACAAGGAGCGCAGCCGCACCATAAACCCCCTCTCCATCACCCCCAAGTCACCCGTACCCTCTGATATCGCCATCTCTCGGTCCCAGAAGCCGAAGCCAATCACCCAGATTGCCTCGGAAGTAGGTATCGCATCTCATGAACTCGAACCTTATGGCCATACCAAAGCCAAGGTCAGTCTCGACGTCCTCTCCCGCTTGGGGCATCGTCGAAATGGTCGATATATCCTCGTCTGCGGTATTACACCAACTCCCCTGGGAGAGGGCAAGTCTACCACTACTATGGGCCTCACCCAGGCTCTTGGAGCCCACTTGAACCGCGTGGTGTTTGCCAATGTTCGCCAGCCTAGTCAAGGCCCAACGTTTGGTATCAAGGGAGGTGCCGCAGGTGGTGGATATAGCCAGGTCATCCCCATGGATGAGTTCAACCTGCACTTGACAGGAGATATACATGCTATCACTGCTGCAAACAACCTGTTGGCCGCTGCCCTGGAGACCCGTATGTTCCATGAAGCTACCTCACCCGACGCCGGTCTGTACAAGCGACTCGTTCCCACAAAGAAGGGCAAGCGTGAGTTCCAGCCGATTATGTTCCGTCGGTTGAAGAAACTGGGCATCACCAAGACTGACCCCAACGAACTTACCCCCGAGGAGATCAAGAGATTTGCCAGGCTGGACATTGATCCAGAAACCATTACCTGGCGCCGTGTCCTAGATGTCAACGACCGCCATCTACGTACTATCACCGTCGGTCAGGCTGCTACCGAGAAGGGCCATACCAGACAGACTGGCTTCGATATTTCCGTGGCTTCGGAATGTATGGCCATTCTCGCTCTCAGCAACGACCTGGCTGACATGCGTGAGCGATTGGGTCGCATGGTCGTTGCATCATCCCGCTCCGGTGAGCCAGTTACTTGTGACGACATCGGTGCTGGAGGTGCCTTGACCGCCCTCATGAAGGACGCAATCAAGCCAAATCTGATGCAGTCTCTTGAGGGAACTCCTGTGTTCGTGCATGCCGGCCCCTTTGCCAACATCAGCATCGGCGCCAATTCGGTGGTGGCCGACAAGCTGGCCCTCAAGCTGGCCGGTACGGAGCCAGATGAAGACCACGACTCCACCACTGGCTTTGTAGTGACCGAGGCCGGTTTCGACTTCACCATGGGCGGTGAAAGATTCTTTAACATCAAATGCCGCTCTTCGGGCCTTGTACCAGACACCGTCGTCATTGTTGCTACTGTCCGAGCACTAAAAGTCCATGGCGGTGGACCGGATATCACCCCTGGTGCTACTCTGCCAGAAGCCTACAGACAGGAAGATACGGAGCTACTACGAAAGGGCTGTGTGAACCTACGCAAGCACATCGGCAATGCCAAACGCTACGGAGTACCCGTGGTGGTAGCCATCAACGTTTTCGAGACCGACACCGCTGCTGAACATGCTGTCATCCGCGAGGAGGCAATTGCAGCAGGTGCCGAGGATGCAGTGCCAGCTAATCATTGGGCTATGGGCGGCAAGGGAGCCGTTGATCTGGCAGAAGCAGTGATCAAGGCATCCTCTCAGCCCAAAAATTTCTCTTTCCTGTATGGACTGGAAGGAAACATGCAGGAACGCATCACCACCATCGGCCGGGAGATGTACGGCGCCAGCGCTGTCGAGTTCAGCGAGCTAGCTGCGCGCAAAGTTGAGACGTATGAGAAGCAGGGCTACGGCAATCTACCTATCTGCATTGCCAAAACTCAGTACTCTCTCAGCCACGATCCAGCTCTCAAGGGAGCCCCAGAAGGCTTTGTAATTCCTATCCGGGATGTCAGGCTTGCTGTCGGTGCTGGATACTTGTAAGCTCACCTTCCATCCCCATAGATTTTTTTTTTTTTGGTTCTTGTTACTGTCTTTCATAGCTAACTGGAAAACTTAGATACGCCCTTGCAGCAGACATTCAGACGATCCCCGGACTGCCTACTGCACCAGGCTACCTGAACGTTGATGTCGACGCCGAGACGGGTGAGATTGATGGACTCTTCTAGATGGTGAACCAATGAAAAAAAAAAAAGAGAGGCTACTTCAACGTGCCTTTATCTCGAAAGAAGTAAAGAAGTAAATACGGTTTCATTTGGCATAGATATATGGAAATCTCCACCACAAATTCTCCACAGTACTATACCAATTTTATATCCATATACCGTTTTTATATCTTCAAATTTCTAATTTACAATGCCTTAAGCTGGCAAGAATAATAGTGACGAAGTTCTACGCATAGTGAGTAGGTAAAATTACATTATAGCTTTTGAAGAGGGCGTTGAAGAAAAAGGGAAAAGAAAAAAAGGTCTACCTGGATATGCTTCTGGAAGCATCCTTGCAGTATATCTAGATACGGTATTGCGGTCGTTAGCACTGGTATATCTCTAGGTTGTTTGAAAAGTGGAAGGAGATCTAGGAAAATTCTGTCGATATTGGATATTTCCATTGGGAAACCTGCAGAGGCCCAGCACGAAAAGTGCCATCTTTCTCGGTAATCCCCTGGAAAAGAGGCCGTCGCGGCCTGCTCTTGTTAGGATATACCCAAGGTCCTACAAGTATGTTTTGTGCTGAAATACATACACTAGGGAATTGACTGAATCCCGCGGCAGTAGACTTTCGCCACGGCTCCACACTTAAGGTTGGCGGGACGTCGATCGACCCGTGCCGCTACATAAAATCTTCACAAACATATTATGAATATTATGTATATATATGTAGGGAATTACGCAACAATGTGAACCAGGAGAGGAGTAATATGAAACACCATATCAAAGGAGCCAACATTCATTTATGCATCTGCAGCGGAAAGCAGCCTAGGTGTGGAACTAGGTGGCATACTGAGAGGCATTTCTCTCAATCTAACCAATTGATTAGGACGTTCTCGGGGGATTTTATACTTCATGGTTACAGTTTCTCTATATATCTAACTCTAATTACTGCGGCTCAGTCGTGTCCCTTTTAACCACCTGCCTTACCCTTTATTTATTATTGTGATTTAATCCTATTATTCTCTCCAAGCTCTTAACTATCTAGTTATATTCTTAATTTTTTGCAACATCACTACCACAGCTCTCCAGGATAGTAAGGAGCAAGTGTATTGAGATGCATCCTCACAGTGACAAGCCTGAAATTATATCAACATACGCTCCATATTCTGAGTATTACTCTGGTACTAAATTTTATCTGGCTCTTATAACTAGCCGTCAGCCTTGGGAAAATTTTAACAACGCTGGTATTTTGAAAATTGCATCCCCTTTTGCTCATGCCGATACAAGAATGTAGCGCCTGACTCAAATATCTCTTCCCAAGACAGTACCATTGTTGCCACAGCTATCCCGTATATTACGGATGAGTTCCACTCCCTCAAGGATGTTGGATGGTATGGTAGTTTCTACTTGATGGCTGTGTGCATGTCGCAGTTCCTATATGGCAAGCTGAGCGCACGTTACTCCATCCGTTGGATCGATAGCACTGCTGTGTTCCTATTCCTCGTTGGTTCTGCTATCTGCGGTGCTGCACCTAGCTCTCCAGCTCTTATTGCAGGCCGTGCTATTGCTGGCCTGGGGTCGTCCGGTCTTCTAGTCACGGTTTTCTCGCTTGTCCCTATCCTTGGTCCACCAACCAAGCGCCCTATTATCCTTACCTTGAACATAATTGCCCGCTCACTTGCTTCTACTGCTGGCCCCCTAGTAGGTGGGGCGTTCACCAAGCACGTCACCTGGCGTTGGACATTTTATATCAACCTGCCTTTTGGTGCCGTCATTTGGATTTCCTTCCTTCTCTCCGTCACGCCGCCTTAACGTGATGAGTCCTTCACCACGTTCTCCGACTTTCTACTCACGCTCGACCTGTTTGCCCTGGCAGCTTTAGAACATTATGTTACTTGCCTCCTCTTAGCCCTACAATAGGGTGGCACTATCTACGCCTGGAGAAACGCTCGCATGATTGCACTGCTGGTCATCTTTGGTCTCCTCGGGCTTGCATTTATTGTCATCGAGATCTGGCAGGGGCAGAATGCGTTCTACCTCCCAGAGTAATACACTCCCTTGAAATATCTCCTGTTTCCGGCTTTAGCACATACTGATTGTAAGATTGCAGATGGTTCCAAGGAGTTAAGGGCGCCAGTCCATTCACATCAGCAGTGCAGACCTTGCCGTGGCTCATTACAAGCGTTCTTATCCTGCTTGTGGGTGGAGCAGTCATTGCTAAGCCGGGGCATCCTGAAATTTGGATGCTCGTCGGATCCGCCTTTGGGGCCGTTGGTTCCGGCCTCTTCACCACATTCAAGATCGACATACGCACGGATAAATGGATTGGCTATCAGATTATACTTGCCATCGGGTCAGCCTTGTTCAGTGTAACCACCATTATGGTTGTACAGGCCGCGCTTACCTCGAAGGATGTTCCAATCGGTTCCAGCATGTCCATGTTTGCGCAGACGATGGGCAGGTAAGCTTTCTTTCGGTCACTCGGCAAAATATAAATTACAGTTAGAATATATATTCTGACGCCATATATTCGCTGTAGTACCATCTTCCTATCCGTGGGTCAAGCCCTCTTTACGAATAACCTGGCTCATGGCTTACAGCGCCTTGGGATAGAGAGACTTCATCCGAATATAGTCTCAACTAGTGGGCTCTTGAGCCTTACCACGGGTCTACCTCCTGACACCAAGATGGCGGTTCTGGGCACCATCAACAATGCCCTAGTAGACTCATGGCGTCTGTCGATGGTCTTGACCTGTATCTCTGTTGTTGGTGCCATGCCCGTGCAACACCACGGATCCAAGTCAAAAGGACACGGCTCAGGATAACCTTGAATGCAATACGTGCCCACATATGGCACCCAACTCTAGAGCAGTGAAATTTTCTGCTTCTTAGCCGCCTTTGTGTTTGAGTCAGGGGGCTCCCTTTTCTGACCACAAGTCAAACGCTCCGCGCTGCTTTGTGGTAGGGCGATGCGGTGTTAACATAAGAGTAGAAAATTTGGACCTTAGGCGAGGATAGAGCGTTGAACTCAATTAATGTGCTTGATTAATATTCTTTTTTATATGAGGTGTATTATTCTGTCAAGGAGGGTATCAATCATAGTGTATTGAAGCTGCCTGTAGCCGTCAACACATCGTCTTCCAATTTGACGTCGTCAAAAGGGCAGTCAAACTGTCAGTTTTGTATTAGTCATCTTATCTCGCTACACCTTTCTGATACAAACCTTATCCCGCTCAAGACAATGACTAAGCTGGCCAGACTCCCGCCGCTGACAAAGTCCTGCTGAGTAATCCTCTGCCTAGAGTAGCCGGCGCTACCTTTTCGGCCCTCTCCCTGGTCTTCCTGGCCCTTGCCCTTGCGCCTGCATATAGAATCCTTACCCGGATGCTGCAGCTACCCCTCTCGGAGCCTGGCCGAGTTAACTGTCGTATGTATGTGGTTCGTCGCACCCGTGAACTCCAGGAGAAATCCTGCAGAGATATCGACAAATCGACAAGTTACAGAAGACTGCCTGCGCAGTCAAAAAGCCCAATAGCAGAGAGAAATAACTGACTAAGCAGCCAGAAGAGCCGAGAGCCGGACGGGCGGAGAAAGATGCTCCGTCGCCCCCGCGGGAGGGGTAGCTTAATCAGCATAGAGTTTCCCGACGAGGCGGAAAGCCGACGGAGCAAGATGCGCCGCGGGCTACTTGGACACGCAGGACGAAACAGCGAGTTCGCCTAGATAACACTCGTAGAGAAGCTGCTGTGTTGATTTTTCGTGCTAAGACGCATACCTAGGAGAAAGCTGGAACGCATCTATTACATGCCAGAGCTAGGTGCGCCTGCGGAGAGACAGACAGGGAGAGCCGGACTTTGAAGGAGACGCCCCACGAAACAGCCGGTGCAGCGAGCCAGGGGGTAGCTCCAGAAGCCTATAGTTGGTTGCTTTGCCTTGCATTGGCAGTCGGCCGACTTTGCGGGCGTTCGTCTCGATCTCAAAATTGCCGACAGCCTCAGAACGGGATATCTCCTCCTCGTCGTCAACGTAAACAATTTGATGCTACATACTCTTGATATCCGGAGCACTCCCGTCTTTGATCAGTATATAACAACCTCTAGGGCTTTGCTATCTCCGGACCAACCAAAATCGCGGCATTAAAGCTCAACCCGCCGGATATACACACAGACAGAACCAAACTCCACTCAAGATTTTTCCTACCTTTCCGCATACCGACATCCCATCATCACCCCCAACCACTTCTAGCGCCTTATCCACCGGAGGATCTGACAGGGCAAAGCTAGCTAACTGGCTAGCTGCGAGAGAAGACACTGAAACTTGCACATCCCCCCACCACCAAGCATATTCGCCGTTCTTTGCATCCGCCGCACCCAACGCTGGAGACCACGAAGGAATAGGGAAAAAAAAAGAGGAGGAACCAGAAACGAAGCTGTACTCCGTATAAGAAAATATCCAGCCAAAAATTATAACTAATAGAAGTGTGTTAACATGGCTGCTGTTCGGCTTACTTCCGGCCATTTCCGCCAGGGTTGCTGCTGGGTTATCCGCTCCCGCTGCCAGCCCACCTGCACCTCCGCCTCCGCCTCTTCGCCCTCTGTATTAAACACGGGGAGTCGCTCTTTCTCGACGGTCGTGAGCAGGCCTGCTTCTATATCTGCGTCTTTGTCTTCCCAGTCTTCGCTGTCTTCGTCTGCATACGTGCGTCCTGCGCTGCCGAACGCTCTTGCTCACTCGTCTCTTGTCCACGGAATAAACCCCTTCACACGCAACATGTCGGCTGCCAGGCGGAAGATCGTGGTCAAGAACCCGATTGTCGAGCTCGATGGTGATGAGGTATATTTTATTATCTTTTTTTTTTTTTTTTTTCTTTTTTTTTTTTTTTTGTTGACAGGCATTTGCTGACATTTGAGTAGATGACTAGAATCATTTGGCAGGATATCAAGGACAAGGTATGTTGGTCACGTCTCCGTACATATATATATATATTTCATAGATCCCTGTGCTAACAGTTCATAGTTCATTACACCGTTAGCATTTTCGAAATAGTTCGAGGGGAGGGACCATTGGCTAATATATAGGCAGATACCTTGAAGTTGACCTCAAGTACTATGACCTTGTAGGTTTAGCAAATAGGTTCCAATGACTGCTGGAGAACCAATTGTCTGACATTGGTATAGGGTCTCGAGTACCGTGATCAGACAGACGACCAAGTCACCGTTGATGCCGCAGAGGCCATCAAAAAATATGGCGTTGGCGTCAAGTGTGCCACCATCACCCCTGACGAGGCCAGAGTGGAGGAGTTCAAGCTAAAGAAGAGCAAGTCTACCACTCCTGGCTATCTATTCTGTCCCGTCTTGCTAACACCCTACTTCAGTGTGGCTATCTCCCAATGGAACCATCAGAAACATTCTGTAAGGCACTACCATTAAGCAGCAGAAGTGCACAGGGAGATTGCTAACACACTGCAGGGGAGGAACTGTCTTCCGTGAACCCATTGTCATCCCTCGCATTCCTAGGCTCGTCCCAGGCTGGAAGAAGCCCATCATAATCGGCCGTCACGCTTTCGGTGACCAGTACCGTGCCACAGACCGTCTCATCCCCGGCCCCGGCACCCTCGAACTTGTCTACACTCCCGCCGGCGGAGAGCCAGAGCGTATCCAGGTATATGACTTCAAGGGCCCCGGTATTGCACAAACACAGTACAACCTTGATGAGTCCATTCGAGGATTCGCACATGCCAGTTTCAAGCTAGCTAGCCTCAAGAGCCTGCCTATGTACATGAGCACCAAGAACACTATCCTGAAGAAATACGATGGCCGTTTCAAGGACATCTTCCAGGAGATCTACGATAAGGAGTACAAGGCCGACTTCGAGGCCAAGGGTATCTGGTATGAGCACCGTCTCATTGACGACATGGTTGCTCAGATGGTCAAGTCTGAGGGAGGCTATGTCATCGCCATGAAGAGTAAGCTTGACCTCGCTCCCTTTGGTCTCAGCATGAGTTGTTGGGTATTGAGGTATGTATGTGGTGGTGTATGGTGTTAACTTGACTAGACTACGACGGTGACGTCCAATCCGACATCGTTGCCCAAGGTTTCGGCTCTCTCGGACTCATGACCTCTACCCTGACCACCCCTGCCGGCGATGCCTTCGAGTCTGAAGCTGCCCACGGCACCGTTACCCGCCACTATCGCGAACACCAAAAGGGTCGCGAGACCTCTACCAACCCCATCGCATCTATCTTCGCCTGGACCCGAGGCCTGGTTCGTCGCGGTCAGCTCGACGAGACCCCGGAGGTTGTTAACTTCGCTGAGCAGCTTGAGCGTGCTTGCGTTGAAGTCGTTGATATTGAAGGCGTCATGACCAAGGATTTGGCCTTGGCATGCGGAAAGAAGGATAGAGAAAGCTGGGTTACCACCAAGGAGTACCTTGCTGCTGTCGAGAGACGACTGCAGAAGAATTTGGGTGAGGAGACTAAGCTGTAGAAGTAGTTAGTTAGGTAGTTTGTTAGATCTGGATAGATGGAATATATTACCAAAATCCTATTCTATTTCACAAATATGCCGGATTTCACAGGAGTAATTGGAACATAATTAACGACCATACAAGCACGATTTATTGTTCTATAACCGAAGTGATATTTATTCATTTCGTCCAAATAAGGAAAAAAAAAAAAAAAAAAAAAGGGCAGGACGAACAATAGGTCATGTGTGACGACGAGCCTTTTCCCTTTCCACCAGAAAAATAACGCCAGCTAATTTGACCAGCAGGGAACAAAACGTAATCGTAATCAGGGAAAAACAAGGCTGTCATGAAGAAGCAGAAGAGGAGGCCAAGGAAAAGAGTAAACCGAAAAAAGTCGGTTTACTTCTTCTTTTTTGGGAACTTCTCCTGCCCAATCCCCGATCCACGCAATTTAACATTCAACACCCTCTCCATCGCGGCCAAAACTTTCTGGTCTGGAGCGGCAGTTCCACGCTCAAAGTCCTGGATGACCGAAACGGTAGTGTTGCACTTTGTAGCAAGCTCCTTCTGACTGAGCTTGATACCTTCTTCGTTTCGACGGCGCTTAATCGCATCTCCGACCTCGTGGCCAACGGTCTTGGGCTTGACGATTTCATCTGATCGATCGACCTTGGTCAAATGCTGACCTTCTACGGCTGGACGGCTAGCCTAAAGCGGGTGTTAGCTACATTTTTCGTTGTCAGGCTATGGTTGGATGGTTGAACGTACAGAGTTGCCAGTGGCGTACTTCTTCTCAGTGCCAACGATCATTCCAGAGCGAGCGGCGGCGTTAAGAGCAGAACGGCCCTTGACGACGGTCTCACGGGGTGCAGAGCCACCACGAGCGGCCTTGCCAATGATAGTGACGGAATCCCAGTCAGACATGTTGATGAACGTTTCTTATCGATATCTGTTGGGCTGATGTGGGGGAAGGATGGTGTTGTTGATGAGGTACGTTCGAGAAACGGGTATCGCTAAATGCAACGCTTTTGTCGAGAGAAAGAGAGCAGTGGTTATTAAAAGAAACCCAAGAGGGGAGAGGTCGTATATAAGGACGAGCAGGAAAAGACGGTGATGTGGATGAGGGACGAAGATAGAAGCCTGACAAGTGACTGCGAGGGCTTAAAATATGACGAACGGCGAAAAGAATGTTCGAGAGTCCGATGGCGCTAAAGTCCGAAAAGAGTTAAGGCGCTGACTCAGCCATGCAGCACAGTTTTCACCGCCTCCCGATCCGGATACTGGTGCTGAGTCATTAGATTACTAAGTGTGACCCTACTTAACCCCAAGTACGATAGAGGTGGAATTCGAGGATGAACAAGATTCAACAGGGCGGCAGTGCCTAACTAGCTACTACTGGATATATAGCGGTCCAACCATTCTTCTCACAGCTTGTCCGACTTCCAGCCATGTTTCACATACCGTGCTGCTATGAACAAAGCCGTAGCTAGGCTTAGTGAGATCCCAGCAAAGAGCTGAGCATATAAATATGACCCCTTTCCTAGCGTGACCAAACGACCTCCTATGGGGGCTCCTGTCAACGTCGCAAGAGCTATCAGTATAAATACCAATCCCACCCGTGAGGGAGAGTTGTTGCGGCTGCTCCCCATGAAACTAAAGACAGTCGGCAGGTAGAGACTCTGAATGGCTGCGGCAGCGAAACCATAGAAACATCCAGTCAGGTAGATGCTCGTTACCGAGTCAACGCCTATCCATGAAAAGATGAAGGTTGCTGATACGAAGACAAAAGGGATCACGGTGTTCAAAGGCCCGAGGCAGGCGTCACTTATTATACCGGGTATCAGACGGCCCAGCATATTGCAAGTGTTCATAGCTATGAGTAGGTTAAGCGACATCTGTGAGGTCATATTCAGGACATCTTGCCCAAATAATGATATCTAGATTCACTTAGTACCGCACAGTTTAACATAAACTAAGGCTCCGAAGCAAACTTACAAAGTAGAAGCCAAAGTATACTCCCCAGAAGGAGAAGAACATTCCTATAAGCACGTTAGTTACCGACGAAATATGGTAAACGATCAAAAATGCATACCAGCTGCCATCAACAAGTAAGAAACATCCTTGAACATTGTCCAATCCATGGTGCTGTTAGAACTCCTTGGCACTCCGGGTCGTTCTCGAATTATAATCAAAGGAAAGGTCATAGTGATTATATTCACCAGTAATATAACTATAACCAGTCAGACCACGGTTTGTTTCTTTACATCCCCTTTTATTACTCACTTCGAAGCGTCCATCCGAAACCGACTTTATGGATGGAGTAATTAAATATAAGCGGGTGTATCACGCCGCCTATGAAGCGTCATTAGCATAGGATCAAGAACCAGTGAGGGCTGCAACTAACCAAAACTAGATCCTACAGCTGCCAGGGCTGTAGCAATCCCAAGGTTAGTAGAAAAATAGGTCGTGGTCACCGTGACTGCTGAGGTAAAAACAAGGCCCATAGAGCAACCCATGAGCACACCTTGCACTAGAAAGAACTGCCACCATTCTTTGCAAAAACCAGTTAACAGGATAGTTACCATGAGGCCGACAGCGCCGCCGCGGAAACAGAGCTTAAAGTAGCCCTTGCTGGTCAGGAGACCAACCAGTAGGAAGAGCCCGAAGTTAGCAAATATCTGGAAAGATCCTATCCAGGCAATTTTTGATGGACTTGAAGTTCGCAGCAGGACTTTGGAATAGTAAGCTTGGAAAACACCAAATGCCTATCTCAATAGTTGAGTTTAGTAAAGAGCTAGCCACGGCTACATCGAGACTTATGAGATGGGTTACCATATTCAAGCCTCTGGTATTCATAAATGTAGATGTTAGTATGACGCAATTTGGGAGTGACGGTTTAGGCCGAACTTACAAGGTGTTGAAAGTGATGAAAAACCCAGAAGCAGCATGAGCCCATGCCATGAAACCACCATCTGGTGGCTCTGGACAAAATTCACCTTGCTCCTCAGGAAGAGACGGGAACCTATCTCCCTTGCTTCGTTCAGCTACACGGCGGATCTCCTTCAGTTGTCCATAGGACATTGGTTGATAGTGTGATATTCCGGGAAGGTCTGCTGGAGTGATCGAGATCACAGAGTCCGGCCGAGGGCCTGGTCTCGTTCTAGGCACAGTAAGTCTAGAGGCAGGTCTTTGAACTTGCTCGTTGGCGTATCTCATGGAATACAGAGTACTTGGATCTCGGCCCCAGCGACTGGGGGAATGAGAGGGTGAAACCATAGGTGAGCCGGCGGGTGACCTAGGCCGATTCATATTTATTAACCCTTGTGGCTCAGTTGCTTGTAGCTGCTGTGGTAATGGGCGGGAAAAGTTCAAGGCGCTCCGTCTAGCAGCATTATTGCTATAACAGCTGTTCGCGAGGCTAGGCGGATTGCTACTATTATGCTGAAAGTCCATCGTCGTCCAGTGCGAGGGAGACGTATGTAACTGTGTCGGATCCAAATAGGGATATACACCAAAGCTTCAGACCAGGAGTTGTAGTAGCAGACAGTCCAACTTTGTCCTTCAGATAGACAAGAGACAAGATCTGCAAAAGAGTCATGACAATGGTTCCCAGCTATATAGGGTAAGAGGGTAAACTCTGTTCACTTGGGGGGGAATCCGGACTTCTACCTAGATATTCACATATCTTTCTCATTATCACTAAGCTGGGGCTGCTGGCAACAAAGACAGTGTATGGTGGGGAGGGATAAGAGTGACTTCCTGCCTAAATGGGGACTCTTAGCAAACTCCAGCTTGCATATGGAATGGTAAATACCGTCCTTCAAGTAAGAGCATTAACTTTACCAACAGACTGTGCTCCTGTGAATATTAGTGGAAAAAAAAAAAAAAAAGTGAATTATCCATCTAATGGTAAAGTAAAAGGGAGTGAGTTCACTCTCCTTAAAAGGTATACCATCTACCTATTAATGTTAAACAAATTCAGCAGGCCACCACAACTCTACCAGTGAGAAGTAGATACATCTTGATCCTTAAGACTAACATTCGTTTGCAGCAAAATCCTTAGCAAGTAAGGAGTGGTATATGGAGGACAGGCTGGCCATCTCTTTGTGTCGAAAACTGGGAGTTTCCGCAGAGAACCGGCCCTAAGTATCTAGGTATCATCGCCTCCTCGCGCTTGTTCCTGGCTCGGGGCTCGGCTCTCGCCCGGGACAGGGCGACGGTTAAGTAACTAGCTCCTCTCGCGAGGAAGCAAGGTTGGTATATACCGCCTGCGCGAGAAGAGGTCGTGTGAGAGTGGCAACCCTGGGAGCGGTTATGTACACTAGTTAGTTAGCCAACATGGCCCATGCATGTTCCTGCATTAACGGCGGTCTTATCTGTCACCACAACCGCCTAAATTGGCTATCACTCCAGCCGTGGTGTGAGGGAACCACCAGCAGCCATATATCTGTCAACAGCAGAACTAAAATCGGCCCACCCAACTTGTCAGGTTTCCCGTAGTGGGGGAGAAACACGAGAAGTGGAGAGTTAGACAGAGTCGATCGGGTCAACAAGTAACTAAGAGCGCACAAAGGAAGTCTCAGACGAGCAAGTCGGCCACCGCTTTGCATCAAGCCAGCGTCTATCAAACGAAGATCAGGCGAGGCAATGCAACGCTTCCCGTTCGTAAAGCCAGTTACAGCGAAAACTGGCTAGCATCTCTGCCTGCTGCTGCTCTGCGCTGAGGAATATGGCGGCCTGCTGTAACCGCGGGCGATCACCGGGCTCAAGAGCGTCGCGAAGTCGTCTCTCGTGGAAGGTGGCCTACTATCCGCAATCCTGGCCCGGATACTATACCTTTGTCTAGTTACCTATTTATTCTATAGAGCTTCTATTCCTATTTAATACGTGCGAGGTACGTCTTTTGACATTAGAATATTCATAAAAGTAAGCTTGTGTTGATTCATATTCATAACTATGATAGTCCCTGGCCTGGTCACTGGCTCCGCTTCTCCGTACTAGCCTTCCCACTCATCCACTCATCCACTCATCCACCATCCACTTTTCTTCATATTATCGCTGTTGTTTTCCCTGTTCTCTCTTCAGCCTTTCGATGCTTGCTTTTTCCTCGCCGTCCTTCCTGCTGCTCCCGACGCTGGGCTTGTGGCTGAGCCAGGGGGGAGAAGAGCCAGATGACTCAGCAACACAAAGCGGCGACACGAGCAAACCAGCAGCACGACCGGCCCAAAAGAAGCCACTTTCTCTCGCCGCTTTAGCCGGCCTCTTTCTTCCAGGGGTCTCCCTCGTCTTCAAACATCCGCATCCTCCTCCTCCTCTTCTTCTTCCTTCTTCTTCTTCTTCTTCTTCTTCTTCTTACTGGATCGGAAAACCAGACAAGCAAGGCGACGACCCGGCAGCCCGACAGCAAACAGGTGTCTCGTCTCCCCGAACACGCCGCCCAGAAACGACGACGAAACAACAAAGACGGACCAAGACGATAACGATAAGAAGTTCACTAAAAAGGTCTGGATTGCACGTGAGTGCCACCTGATCAACTCTCAACCGCTATCAAGAACATCGAGAAGTTCTTCTGCAAAGCCGCAGCAAGCCATCCACCAGACATCCATCCTCGCCCACCTCCCTTCTCCTCCATCACCGTCTTGCTTCTCGCTGGGTTGTCTAGCAGTCCAGCCGCCGTCCCGAAGCGAGACACCCGTTCCCTAATTCACACATACCCCCAAAAGCATCCTCGTTTGGACGCCGTTTCCGTCTTTTCGTGGGTAGAAATACATTTACGGACGCACATGATGTCGAACCAAAACAACATCTCCATCGCCATGACCAACCGGTCTCTGCGGAACATCAGAACTGTTAGTCAATACCTGCTCCCGCGGTCTTTCCATCAATAGATGAAACCCCCTTTGACCTGGCGTCGTTTGGTCCTGTTATAGGGTGTTGACATCAGGACCTCTCCTTTCTTCCTACTTCTTCTATTGTCTACACACATATTGACCGTGGGAATTGACACAGGAACTCGAATTTCTCGCCGACTCCTCCGTTATCACTCCTGCACAGTTGTCATCCATTCTCGAACAACTACCTAGTCAGACACAGCTGCACGCTCCATTACATCAGCCCGTTACTGAGTCGACATATTCCCCCCCATCTGCTCAACTATCTCGAGTCAGCCTGAACGAGAAGGCCGAGAGCCCATACTCGAGCCCCCCGCCGCCGCCAACGTATTCTTCCGCTCCTCCCGTACTCTCTCTTGCTTCAGCTCTTTACGCCTATACTCCAACTGATGCCGGAGACTTGGCACTGCAGCCTAACGATCGAATTCAGGTTCTCGAGCATATGAACAATGATTGTACGTAGTATACATGCATATTGACAGTTTTCTCCCGCAAGCACTGATGGCTAACTTATTTCCAGGGTGGCGTGGTAGGAATGAGCGAACTCACCTCGAGGGTATCTTCCCACGAACCTACGTCAGCGTAATCGAGGAGAAACCCATTATCCACTCTCCCCAGCCCATCAGCTACAACAACATGCCCCTCGAGATATCACAGTCCGGCTCATCGTCCCATGGAAAAGTTCCTAGCAAGTTTGAGGAGAACGGCAAGAAATTCGGAAAGAAAATGGGCAATGCTGGTAAGTTATCCATCTCTATCTTCAATCGTCTACATAGACCGTTATCACCGTTACTAACTCAAGGTTTCCGTGCAGCTATCTTTGGTGCTGGCGCCACCATTGGCTCAAACATTGTCAACGGTATCTTCTAACTCGGTCGTCTGTATTACAATTCATATACCTCAACAGAAGAGAGCAATACCTTTTTGCGTGTATGCGTGCTTTGATTTGTGGAAATATCTTCATTTTTCTCTCTTTTTTGAATTTACTTCGGGACAGAGCGGGACTAAAGAGTCCTGTTCACATCGGCGTTAAAGCTACTGGGCGGAGTTCAACGGCTCGGAATCATCTTATCATTACTTTTTTTTTTTTGTGCTAGGTCGGCAATAAGAACCAATTCCAATATCTGGCCGGTACCCTTTGACGCCTACACACCGACCCATCGAGAGGTTGCTACTTTGCATCCGAAACTTATAATACGAATGCATCCAGCATCAAGTTCTAGATCATTCTGGACTCGTTTGGATCTATGGATCAATCAATGCCTGTCTGCTTTGATCACAGCCTTCAATCAGACTATTATTCGATCTGACGGCGTATTTACCCACACGTCTTATAGGGATGATGAGCCTAGGAAAGCTACATACCGACATACGACACATGGCTGGGCTGGGCTGGGATTGACTAGGTTTCCTTTGATCATGCTACTACCACTTTTTCTCCATTCTTTACCTCTTTGCCGTTTCCTTTCGATTTTGTTTTTTTTTCCCCCACCCATTCTTGCTATAGACCCCTTTTTCTCCCTCTCACCTTCTACAACCCCTTTTCATATATCAACTTCTTGTCTTACTACTGCTCCCCTTCTTTTCTTCAGCATGTGGAGTGGTTTGAAATCCGTGGATTGATGGATCTGCCATCGACCCCGACCTGTCTATGCCTCTTACCAGCTTGGATGTATGGTTTGCTCTTCTAAACTGGCTTCCCCCATAGTACCTGACACGCACGGCACTTCCTTTTCTTTTGTATCATGACAAACATGCTGCTCCTATACCTGACCAAGCATTACTCCTCTAACATTCCTTTTCGTGGCTACTTTTCCTTTTCTTTGTCCTTTTGCTGTTTTTTATCTCTCTCCTTTTATCCTTTTATCTAGCCTACTTTAATTCAACTTGCGCTTTTCGTCTGCTAGGCTATTCTTGTTTGACCATCACCTGTGTATCTCTATACCGCTGTCTACATAATGAGGCTAAGGTACATTTCTTTTCTTATACCCCTATCACAACCCACTCGCCATAAACTCTCGTTAGGATACCGGATACGACAAACCTCACTGTCCTAAGAAGAATCTTCTCACCGACTCTGAGATCTACCCCTGTAATTCGGTCCAGATTCATATGCCAATTGAGTAACATACCATTCCTATCACACCTCGCTCCGCTTGACCAGCATCGGCAAAGCACCCAAAAAAAAAAAGTGCATACATAGCAACTTGTGGAATTCATAAGGGACTGCACGCTTTCTATTCCCCTACCCAGGCAGACATGCAACTTTACCTTGCCGGTTAAGCGGTTCAGAGGCTGTCCTACCGTCAGCATGTGTACGACAGGCCCTCGTAAGGAAAACAGCTGGGCATTCGTATTCACCTGAACAGACAAATCCGGTTTATGGAAAAGGAAGCCAAGTGGCAGTTTTAGGAGACTGGAAACCAAGCGCTGGGAGGGCAATGTCATATTCTATCGTCTCACTGACTCGATTCACAGCGCATGAGAGTGCTGATGCCATCGAAGGATGCCAACAAGATTTCCAATTTTCCCTCTTTACCAGCCAGGCTTGCGTGTAACCCATTCCTTAACTGCCTATTTTATAGATTTTGTGCGACCTAATTCGAGACTGAAGCGTTGCTTATTGTTTGTACATTGCACAATCAAGTTAAGGTAAATATTGATACGGCTGAAGCAAGTGATGACTCGGGCCGCGCAAGCTGCTGCTTGATCATTGACACATGTTCAGCCAGATCATAACTAGACTGGATATCAAGACACGCGGTCCGGATATAGATGCATATTCTGCATTTGCTTTACATGCCCCAAGTTGAGACTGGGCACGGTAGATGGTAGCTTTCCTTATTCTCGAGAGCATGGTGTTCGCCTTTCTTCCCTTTCTCTCCTCATGTGCGCCGGCTGTAGACTTGGATGCTATGTGAAAAAAAGTTTTACCTGCCAGGCTTGAAGAAAGTGTGTTGATTCTGATTTTGCAAACCGTTAAGCGGCAGGCGCGGATCTCAAAAGAAGAGTAGTACTCATTGGAGGCACAGAGGTGTCATAGCGGTAATTCTTAATTCGCACTTGGGCTGCTACTGACTGTTATAAAAGCCATGCTTCTTACATGGCTAGGGAAAGTTTGATAAAGCAATGACTTTAATAAGATCACTTATACTGGAACATCTTGCTTCAGGGAGCCGGCCAAATCTTGCGGTCTGGGGCCTATCTGCATACTGAGGAGGTTGCCTCGTGGCTCCTGCAAAAAACGCTCATTACTTAGCTAAGATTTTCGTAAGGGGTAATATTGCTACAGCGAGGGGGTTTTGGTTTCGAGGAATGAAATAAAATACGTTAAAGAGGAGAGGAGCAAGGAATCAACAGTTCCATGATCTAGAACTAAACTAGGAATCCATTCATTTTGGAAAATGCGCAGCGGAGGTGGCCAAAGGATCGAGCAAATGCCCCAAAATCGAGTGCCATTGCTCAATGTACGAGCTAGGCCGACAGACAACCCCAACAATCAGGGCATATATACAAAATCGAACTGTCTATGGTTAGCTAGCTATATGACCCCGATAGTAATAATGCTGTGTAAGGATGAGATATCTCCCCAATAATTCCTCTAGCTGGGGCTATCGGAGAATCCTGGGTATCAGCGGAAAAGGTGATCGGTTGACCTTGTGGCTTCGGGAACTTTGAGGAAATCATGCACCACGTCTAGCCAGGGCAGGGTAAATGATAGAATAGGCCACACGGTCGATAATACGAACACCATCATCATGCATGAGGCAAAATGAACATGCATGACTGAGTGGACTGATTCGGCTATCAAGATCTTAGCGAAGAAAGGCTAATTCTAAAACACCCAACAAAGAAAGGCAACAAAAGAGCAAGGGACTGCATTGTTGCAAACATAGTGCTTATATGTGAGTTGATCTCAGCAGTCCTAAAGACAATGGATGGGCTCGAGGGAGAAGGGATCTAAATGAACGTTGGTGGCGTGGTCATGGATCAAGCGCAAGCATTCCTTGTGGTAGAACATGTGGAGGATGGAAGGGGAAGGGTGCTTGAATTACTCATTTAACTAGTCACGGACGCATTTCATCTGGGGACAACCCAATCGTGGGGGTCCCTCTCTGCGCCTATCCCTATAAGTGATACTGCTTATAGGGTGAGTAAGTTGCGATGGGCAAGAGCAGGGGATTCTGGAGAAGGTAATAAAACAAAAAATATAAGCACACATGAGATCGACGCTGCCCGCCAAAAGGGAAAAATTAAAATAAAATAAAGACCGTGTATAACAGCCTATAAGGTGCCACTCCATATAGCTAGCGGGCTATATGTCAGTATCGTTGATACATAATTAACGGTCTTAAGGAACCCCCGCTTGTTATGGCATGCCATGCATGGAAGGTGATGTGTTATCAAATCAAGGGCCAGGTGGGAACGTATCAGAAGAAGAGAAAGCTTGTGAGAAGACATGTGCCTTGCACTAGGATGACTAGTTATCCAGGTTGCCGGGTCACCTCGTCATCTCCAGGACTCCGAAGAGAGGTGGTAACAAGAGGGTGATATTTATCGGTTGGAGTTGGAGAAAACATGGGACCAGCAGCAGTCCGGTTTTCTTCTCTCACTGGGTATCATCATCGAGAACAGGAATGCAAGGTGCAAGGGAGGTTGTGAAGTTATGCAAAATGGGCCCCCTTTAAGTCGAGCTACCCCCGATGCCCTGAAAGCTGTCTTGGTTCGGGTAGCAGAGCTACTGAGTCCAGAACTTTTCTCCCCCCTTTTGAACGGAGTACCTTGGTAAGTGCCTTGTACAAGTTTGGTACCTGCTCAATGCAGTTACGCAAAAGCATAAGGGCTGCAGCCCGAAGCTCCGCCGTTGGAAGCGAGCTGGCTCATAGTGGGCTCTCCGGTTCAGCCTCAACCATGTTGGTCACGGAGCAATTAATTCCCGGTTAGGTCACCCTTCTGCAACCATATAACCACGGTTTATCCGAGAGGGAAAATTGTTGCAGCTTGGATGACTGCGATACGGACAACGGGCCATTCAGTCAATAAGGCCCGCTTATTGATGCTTTCAGGTGGAATATTGTAAAAGCTAACCCACGGCTCAAAATTACTGCGTCCTTTTCAGGTGGGCAAACCAGTTTACTAACTAGTTAGTTAGCTAATTAGGTGGCTATCAACTCAATCAGCCATCACACCCTCTTCTCCTATGGCAACAAGAACTGTAGGACAAACGAGATCGCATCACACAATCTCGAACTTACCAAGCAACCAATTGCGAAGTTTACGGAGGAGCGGGTGGGTTAAAAAAAATAAAGTAAAGGGACCATTGCAGCAGATCCAAAGGGCAGTAGACACGGCTGGGCAAGTAGTTAAACTAGCCTCATGTCCGTTCGCCGTTGAAGGTGCGCCCTTTGGATGGAGTGGCTTGGATGGTGAAAGTTTTGAGATATTTCACAGCTCCGCTAACTAATGCAGGCATGGGAAATCACTCAAAGTGATGAGCGTCCCTCTGCAGGTTTTGAGAGTTGATGGCGTCCAGAGAAGAAGCATAAGATAGAAAGTTGATTTGTTGGATGTCGAAGGCCGAAATTTTCAAATAATGATGGGACGAGGTCGAAATTAACAACAAACCCGTGACTTGATTGCCCAAAGCGGTAAAAGAGACGTCATGGCTGGTTCAGGCGCACAGCACGAATTGATAGAAGCACTTTATGGCGAAGGAGAGCAGGCAGAGAGAAAGGGAGAAAAATTGATTAAGATGGCTGGAAATTAGTAATGTACAACTCCTATGCCCCGGGGGTCCTTTTTTTTTTTTTTGTTTAAAAAAAAAAAAGACCAAGCTAAGTCTATGAGAACAGTGTCATCAATGGGATCGAGGGAACTAGAGAGAAACAGAGATAAGAAAAGAGCAAAAAAAAAAAAAAAAAAAAAAAAAAAGAGAAAGATAGGAAATGGTGGGAACACGCAATAATGGAAATCAGACGAATAACACCACAGCCGCCCAAGATTTTTTTTCCAGGTTCCAGGTCATGAAGTGTCCCTCTTTCGCAAAAGAAAATGAATGATTTATTTTGAATTATGCACCACCAGGGTTCAAAGAAAAAAGGGAATCGGGTATTTGACTATCCCGTTCGAGACGTGGTTAGTACTTTAGGAGCGAGTGGGTGAGAGAAGTAACAGAGTGCCGTTTCCTGCTGGTATGTGTTCACTATTGCATCCGGCATGGCCACCCTGGCTCACGGTCCTCCTTGGTCCTTCCAACCTAAGGGTGGTCTTGTCAATGAGAGAGTCACAGAGACAAGAAGAGACAAAAAAGTGTTGGGTTGCATTGTGAACGTAAAAAAAGTAGCACACACGGGGCGATAAGGGCCCGGCAGGATCGAATCTGGGTCCGGGCTAAAAAGGTCCAGGAGAGGGAGAGAGAGAGTTGGCGTACTGCAGCACCAGTAACTTTGAAAATAGGTTGAAGAAAAGGCAGAAGATAAACAAAGGTATCTGTTCTTCCCTGCGTGTGGGGGTTGGTTCGGCAATATGCCAAAGTATGTAGTGTTGATAAATACCAATGGTCAAAACGTCGGTCGTATACGGGGATGAAAAGGGTTTCCCTTGCGAAGCTTGCCCCGTCTGCC